AATATTACTTGTAACATTTGCTTTAATGTGGCTGCCTTCCTTTCTGAAACTATAACCACTTCAGGCCACCCAGAGAATGAGTTGACCAAAGTTAAAAATAGTCCTATGCCTTTTACATGCACATAATCCATATAACTGTAGGGCTCATGGCCATGGATATATCTTGGTTTGCCAAAAGTTTTTATTTCCATACATTTTGTGCATTTTTGTACATATTTTTCTACATCAGGCAAATATCCAGGCCACCACACCCCTAATTTTAATCATCTCTGTGTTGCTGTTATTCCACAATGAAGATTATCATGTACACTATTTTTGACGTCTTTTCTTTGATATCTTTCTTGTGGTGCCACAAAACAATGAATCCAAATTACAACAAAATCCAGTTTGTCCAATGGTGTTAGAGTTCCTATCAGCAATGTCATGTTGTTGTGTTGTCTTCCAGTCTGTGACATTGAAGATTTATTTGTAGTTGCTTGAATTTATGCAAAATAGGGTACGTCCATTTATGCATATCACAATACAAACTTTAATCAACATTTTTAAACAATATGTTATCTCATTCTAATAAGTATAAAAGTTAGTACTACTAAATCACTTATAATGCTTATGAATAGATAAAACATTCAGTATTTCTCTGAAGCTATAGTGTTCATTTCATAAAATATTCACAAAAATATTTTTTCTTAAACATTTTTGTATAATCTTTAATATTGTTACATGGCATGCATGAGTTATACTTATATATTAGATAAAAAGCAGGAAAAATTATCTTTAGTGGAGACAAACAAGAAACATCCAACTTTTTATTATAACAATAGTTTACTTACAGAGAGTACAAGAGTTTTGCTGGTCTCTCAGTTTAGATGTAGCACTTCCAAATCCTTTTCTTATATTGCACAAAGAAACATTGTTTTGTTTGTACCTTGCAAAGAACACTTTACTGTTTTGATATTGCAATTATAAATTTACATAGGATATTTATCTTATAAATATATCCTGAAAATTTTACTGAAGTTAGTTGCCTAATTTATTCTGAACTTGCATAATAAAATCTGTAATTCTCTCTTGCTATTAATATAAAATGAAAACAGTTCAAGCTCACAAGTTTCTTTTTAGAATATCTTGGGGTCATTTTATCTCAAATCAATCAATGGCCACAGGTGGTCCTTTCAGAAAGATCAGGGAAAATTCACAGGTCTTTCTTGACCAAACTGATTGATAAATCCCCCAAATTAGGTCTTTTATCTTTAATAGTTTTTAAATCAGAGCATCTTGAAATTTCACTGCATTTTTCTAAATAAGGCTTTTAACAAAATTCTGACATTCATAACTCCAAGGATATTGTATGAATATATTTGAAACTTGGTGACAATAGTTAATATTTATTGTAGATTACAAAAACATAAACAGCTTAGGTGTGTTAGACATAGTTTTTTTATAAGGAGCTGAAAATGGTCAAAATTTTAAAAAATCACTGTCCAGTTTGAGAGATTTTTTTTTCTGTCATTTATGACTTAATACAGAATTTTTCTATGCAGTAATCATATTCATCCCTGTTATAGCAATATCAGTATTTCTGTTTGAAATTTGCTCAATTTTTTAGTATCCTTAAAATTGCCTATTTTCATGACATCAGCAGATCAGTTAATCAGTTTAAGAAAGTTTTTAAATTTTTACTTGTCTAAAGATCATGAATAAAGTTCTGTCTAGGAAAAATGTGATACTATGAACACCCCTCTGCATAGAAATGGAAGAGGTGGTTTTATATTGATCTCAAGTGTTTCTGTTTAATAGCCAGAAGATAGTCCTTTTGAAGTCTACTTTTCTTATCGGCATCCACTTTGACCAAAAGAGAATGGGAAATAAAGAAGTGGATGAGGGATTTTTCAAGATCAAGTGGCAACACAACTAAAATTATAGTATACCTGAGTGCTGGTCTATATTAACAGTCATACTTCAAATTGGGGAGAGTTCAGGTCTGCCCTCAGTCAATATAGAAGTTATCCCAAGTACCACCTACCTAGATGAGCAGGTGAAACCCCGAATAAAATATTTATTTTATAATATGGAAAAGAGAGTTTATGTTCTTATTCATTGATGTGACATTTATCTTTCGTCTTGTTACCTTGTGAGCAGCATCTTTTTCATCTTTTGGTGCACACTATTGAGATCAAGATTGAAATGCAATGGGGAGTAAACATTGGCTAGTTAGTGAAAAGCTTCAGCAAGGGTCACATTGTATATTTATCTTAAAACATATTTCTAGAACAACTTGTCGTGCCGAAATCATGGTTTTGTTGATTTTTGCACCTTATAAATAAGAAAATAAGAAGCTGAAAGTTGGTAAACTTATAATTTTCTGTGCAAATAAACTATTTATGGCTTCATCTTACCTTTGTTCCAAATAGTTTAGATGCTATGGGCCCTTAAAATTGTTCTTTTGGATGGTTTACAAAATTTTTCATTGAACAAAGAAACTAAATCAAGAGACTTCATTGAAGACAGTTGCAAGTAAACTACAGGAATATATTACTAAATTATTTTAATTTTTAAATACATCAAATCAAAATAATTAAAATGCATCACAATTTGTTCATATTAAGCAATTTTAAAAATTTACTCAAAAATATACACAAATCAGGATCATTAGTAAGGTAAAAACCACATTAAGGATATTTTTCAAGGGAATAAAAAATTCAATTCACAAAATTATTATATAAGAGGTATATTCGTTGTTGTTTTTTTAATTGATATTTCTGAAGGAAAATTGAATTAAATGTTCAAAATATTCAGAAATTTAATTCTTTTTTTTTTTTGCAAAGTACTTAAGTACTCAATTAATTAAACAAAATGAAAACTTTGTATTTTATATTGAATAACAGAGATTTAAAGAAGTGTTACTCATGATTACTTAAGCAATTTTTTAAATTACCTTTTTAAATACATATTTTTAAATAGTAAAAACAATATATAAGGATTAATAAGGATAGATTAATATATAAGGGAGTGTAGAAAACATTTTGGCCTGACCCACTTCCCAAAATGATCAGATGACTTCAGAATTTTTTTTGAAAGGCTTCTTGGTCATGCCAAAATTTTTTCATTTTATTGTCTATATATATAGATCAAGATTGGAGAAATGTACAATTTTGTTTTCAGACCAACTTGAGTAGTACAAAAACTAAAAAAGCAAATTAAGTTTTGTTGAAAAATTATCATGTAGAAAAATGCTATTTTCTGGCATAAATTTTGTAGTATATTTTTTAAAAGTTTTAACATAAATTACTTGGTTTATTTTACCATAGTTTCAAAATCAGCTTACTAAGATGTTTGATTTTAAGATTACAATTGCTATCATTGCTTCATTATCTTTACCACAAAATAAACAGGTTAAATGAATAGCTATGAAATAAAGATAAAATCAAATAAACTGTTGAAATGAACAGCTATGAAAAAAGTGTTGTTTTATAGATATTCACTTCAATTTTTAATTGACTTTTACAATTATTTTTAACAGTCTGTAAAAAAGAAAAAAATATTTATTTAAATTATCTTTTGTTGTCAGAAAATATCATTATTATAATTTACTAATATTGTTTTACATAGGAAAAAAACTATAACAAGATTAAATATACAAACTCAGTTAAATATTTTTAAAGAATTATTTAGTAGTCAGATAGTGAATTGCATAGAAACCGTCTTTTAGTCATGTGGTAGGTTGATAAAATATTACTTCACCTTCTAAAGAAAAGGGCTCAATTATTTTTACTTTTTTCAGTATTCAGAAAGAAAAAAGTAAAGAGAATGTTCTTGTTAGTTTCTTCTGTTTAAGCATTTTATTTTTATTTATTTTTAACGAAAAACATGGAAGCTGTAAGAAGTGTTATTAAATAATTTTCATATAATTTTACTTTTAGTTTTATTTTTTTTTACTCATAACTCATTAAAATCATGTTTTTATATTTATTTTATGTCTCTTTTCATTTAAGTGTGTTGGCATATTTATTTTTTAAGAAGAGTGACGTGCATTTCTCATCTGGCAACCATAAGTGCAACGCATTTTCTCAGGTTAATTCTTTTTGTCAAGTCCTTATCCTACTTTACCTAACAACATGACCATCGACAATTATTACGTCCCTCCAACTAATGAATGAGACTTTCCATTCAAGTCAAGTTATACGAAAAGGAGATAGAATAAGAATATTATTTCAGAAATAGGTCGATAGGAACACAAAGGTAAAAATGTCATCATCCACATCCTAAAAACATAATCAACACTTTTTAAAGAAAAATCAATTGTAGCTTTTTAATCTTATTTAAACAAATCAGTCATTAAATAAAAAAAAAAATGAGACACTATTTTCCCGCCTTTTCCCCTTGTTTATAATCCTGTTGCATACGGTACATAACTTCGTCTTAATTTTTTCATGCTGCATTCATAAAGCTGAATGAATGAATAAATAACTGATAGTACAATCCTCAATCAGATAAATAGTTTTTTTTTTACTTTTCAGTTTCACGCTAAAACAGAACTTTCAATAAATCTGTAACACAGTCTCCGGTAGTTTATTAAATTAAATAAAGTTAATTGTCATTTCAGAAAGTGAAATCTATTGTTTCCAATCTAATTTTCTACTTCAAATAATTTTGTTTAAATCTTTCGAAACTGACACTTTTTTTTAAACATCATTCCACTTATTTCCATTTTTCAAGCAAATCCCGCGCAAATTATTTATCTGATTACTTTTTTTTAGTTTGCTTAAAAGTTTACTTGCAATTTTTAACACTTTTGTTTGTTTTTCATGGATATTGATAAAATAATTAAGAGTAAACGTCAGCTAATTTTTTTTTATATTTAGTTAGTACTAAAAAAAAAAAAAGTGATGAAAATGTGATCATGTGACTATTGTAATCTTAACCAGTGCTTTCAAGTAGACGTTGGCGCCACATTTTGAACAGCACAATAGTTGGATAGGATTTCTTCGTAATTTTATAATATGCCGCTTCTTGGGAAGAAGATTTTTGTTTGTGTCAAACCGTTGATTAATCGAAAATCGGAGGAGACAATATACAGTATACCACACACAAAAGAACAGTTTCGATCTAAACAGTATCCTTTGATGTATCAACTATATCTCTCTATCCAATATGGCTGCTCTCATGCTGTTATTTAATAACATTTTACTAAAAGCGAAATCACATTCGTCAAATTAACACATGGTCTTATTTACACCATTTTATTTATTCTCCTAATGTTTCGATATCTCTATTCAAAACTAAAGCTTGATTGTGCTTTGTGATGTTTTGGATCAACATTTTAAATGTAGTGTCAAATATTTCCGAGTGCATCATCAATGTAGAGGGGTTGTTGTGATTACCATGGATACCACGTGGTCCCTCGGAGCAGTAAAGGTAGGTGTCCAGGGGTTGAGGTGTCCATCCTAATCCATAGTATACGATCTTAAATGTAAGATCCGTATTTTACACGACTCCAACACTATGATTGGTCTTTGACAGTATTGATGTGGGGCCCCAGTAAACTGCAGTGCTCCGCCATCTTGTACTCTTTGTTGTCTTGACCACCACTTTTTTGTTTTGTTTTATATATTTTGGGGGGATATGTACTCACAATTTTATCCCGTTCCCCCCATGTAAATACATTATGTGATCAAGTTTTGCTAATCGATTAAACTATTCTTCTAAGTAACCAAAGTTCTTTGTCATTAACCACCTGTACATTGACCAAGAAATTTAAATTTGCAGATCTAGAAACAGGTGCAGTGCTGCACTCTGCGCAATCAGTCAATGGATGTGGATTTACTTATTTAAAATCTGTGAATAACATCTTTTTTTATTTGTATTTGAATCGACACATGAGTTTATTTATGCTTTATTCGTTGCTGAATCTTCATCCTATGTATACTTTTTTATTTGCAAAATATTCCCTTAACTTCTGGATAGGGACTATGAGAAACGGATTTCCCTTTACGAGAACCGCATCTGGACGTGTCAGTCTACAGGGCACACTAATCTAACACACGAAGAAGCCTGGAATTCGGAAAAGACTGTGCAGAAGTCTGTAAAGTCTCAGTATCAAGCATGTTACGAGAAACCAGTGTTGGATATTGTGCATCATAGTAAGTGAAAAAGTGATACTATTGTAAAAATATCTACGTCGAGTAATTAAGTGTACTGTAGCTGTGTAGTCTTATCTGGCTCATGGCCACAATAGTGGAATACTTAGCAAAGATCAAATTCTGTAGCAATGGCTTATTAACTATCCTTCTACAGTAGACGTAGAAATAGTCTAGATAGTTTGATAGGCTTTTTCTGATTAACACTTACATTTTTATTGATTGACATTTCCTCTTGAAGCAATTGTTTTTTTTTTTTGTTTCTTTAAAAAAAAAGAAGCTATATAAGTGAGTAGCCTCCACTTGGTAATGAGTTTAACACTAGATGGCGGCGCTTAACAGGGACAGTCCTTGTCAAAAATAAAGAAAAAAAAATCAGTTTCATCGTAGGAAGAAGAAAAGTCAAAAAGAGTTTATCTTTTTGCTTTATATTATTTTCTTCCGTTCGTCATTCCAGATAGCGTTATGTGTATTATTACTGTATGTGTGCATGTATGTTGATGCAACCTTTGTTAAACAGAATTGATTGAATTTATTTATCCGTTCATTGTTGGTTCATGATAATTCATGCTATTATTTTAATTAATTTGTTATAAAAATAGTTCAACTGAAATATTTTTTTTTTTTTTGTTTAAAAGAAAAAAAAAGTGAATTTTAGTAACTAGTGTCTTATTCTTTCCAAATCGGATGTACCCACTATCTAATATCTTGTTCTTCCTTCACCCCTAAAGATCTTTTGGGGGGAAACCGAATAATAATAATGATGCCAGTGAGTAAATTCACGTTTCCTGTAGTCGATTTGCAACTGTCTTCGACGAAGGCTCTTTAGTCTTCATATTGGTGATTATTATTGTGTTATCAAAAAACTACTCTTTTCTAATATCATGGTCCAGATTAGAGATCGTGGCTTGTCTTGATCAGTTATTAAAAAAATCTCACTGGGATAAACTGACGCGTTCTTTATTTTTATGAAAAACACTTGGATGATAAGTTCTTTCTATATTTGTGTACTATAGTTTTCTAATTTCTTTCATCATTCCGGTTAAACAAATAAAACTTTTCTTAATATTAGGCCACATTTGTGTGCAGAGTATTGATCATGTATGAATAATTTATAAAACTTACAGTACACTACATTTTCTTGTCTAAAAGTTAGAGCAGGCTTACTGTTGGGGTTTCCCTCCATTTTTTTTTTTTTTTTTTTTTTTCTTTTTTTTTTTGTGTGTGATTTCTATTGTTAATGAATGATCAATGCCGGTCTTGTTGAGAGTCCATTTCTTTTTGCAATTATTTACTATATCTTCCATAATGGTTATTGATACGACACGCTATTTAATTTTAAATTATTAAATCGATTTATTTTTAATTTAAGATTTCTATATTGTTTTATTTAATAAATTTATTTTTTTTTTTTTGTAAAAACGTCTTTTATTTAGCAGATTTGCACTTTCTGATTTCGCTAAGATTCTTAGACGATTGTCATTTTTAAAATTTTATTTGCTTATCGTAATCATAACAATGTTCCGAGAATTACGGTAAAAAAAAAAAAACCAATGAAATTAATTAATCAAATATTAGTCTGAAATTTAATAATGAGAATGTCAATAAAAAAAATGTCAGCTTTGTCATTGACAGACTTTAAAAAATGTGTTCAATTGATGTAAATATTTTCTTTTCAATGAGTAAACTCTTAGAACTAACTTGGTAATGAAAACAGTAAAACTCATTTTTCCTTTTTGGTTTCAAGCAAATTCATTATATTTTTGCGAAAATTTAAAAATTAGATCTTTATTTATTTTATGCCAATATTTCGTATTATTTTGCCTTGATTTTGTTCATTGTCTTCTCGATAAAAGAAATCGGGAATCTTTAGATAGGAATTCAAATCGAGAGTATATTCAGGTATTCGGTTTATTGTTGAAGAAAAAAACATTAATTTTTACTTTTTCAACAAATGTGAATGGCCCAGTAATGAATTGCACCTTTTCATTTCTTATGTCGTCACCACATAGTAAATGACAGTTTACCTAAGCAACAACTTCATTATTTTGTAATTTTTCTTTTTTTTTTTTAAATCTTAATTTTCTCGTATAATTTTATTTTTCTTGCTATGTACAGTATGTGTTTTTGTTTTATGTGAATAAAATCATTTGTTTAATTTAAAAATGAAATTGAAACTCTGGTTGTCGGTTGATTTCAAAATACTAAAATTTCGGTTTGATGAAGAATTAAATTCATCTTTTTATGTACATTCAAAACGCCTTTTATTTTTTATTTTATTTATTGATCCTCAAATTCAAAACTCTATTCCCCACTATTGTTATGATGATTTGAAAAATACTTTTCATATATATTCTAAAGATCTTGATAATAAGCACTCGTATTTTGCAATCATACATGGCATAAACTGAATTTTTTAAAAACTAATTTATTAACTTTTTTTAATATTCATTTATTTTTTTTTCTTTATTCAGCTTTTTGTGAATTTTTAAACATTGGCTGATCTATTTCCTTAAAAGTTTTAAGCATTTAGGAAATGTTTCAATTGTTTATGGAACATATAGTTACTTTAAAATCTTGTGAGTTTTAAAATACAACAGTTGCTGAAAAGTTCTTTATCTGACCCACTTCCTAAAATTTTATCAAATATCAGAATTTTTGAAATGCTTATATTTTAGTCTTAAGATATTTTTGATATTTAAACTTTTAAAAATTATACCTTTTAAATGAATTCTGTGTAGATGTGTCTAGAATATATGAAATTCTTTTAGGCACTCACTCTTTGGATACACTTGTGGATCAAACATGGCTCAAACTACAACAAGTTCTTTCTATTGATGAAAAAGTATCATTGAAAATCAGGACAACAGGCAAAATGTAAGTGCATTCTTTCACAGACTTAATTACATGTATATAATTCTAGCATGAAAAATATTTTAAAAAATTACAATTTGTGAACAATCATACTTACACTAAAGTGAAAACAAAAATCTTGTTCTAATTAAATGCAGCATCCTATCCAGTATTTGATATAGTTTAGTGATTTAAAAATATTCAAATTTTCATTAGAAAACTGGGTTAGAAGTTTAATGATGAAGATATTCTTATCTTTTAATGGCTGTTTTCTTTTTTTTCGCCCCCACAGAGTAAAAGCTAAAGTTTTCCGAGTGGATACATGTGGTATTGAGGTAAAATTGCTTTTACATATTATTTTTAATATATATGTGAATTTTGTATTTAAGTTATAAGTTTTCTTGTAATTCATCCCTTCTGTTTGATAAGGATTGAACAATTTTATGAAAACTTTTAACAAAGTAAAATTTTGTTTTTGTTTGTTATCAGAATTAACTATCTTGCTTAGTATGCTTAATTTGGCATAAGACTACAATTTTGGGAAATCTAATATGTTACTCTGATATTTGCTTGCTGAACACTGCTTCAAGGTGACCAGTGATTAAGACTTGAAGAACCAAAGGAATTTCTGCTTTGCTAAGGTTTACTAACTAAAATGTTCAATATGAAATAAATATTACAAGTTGGTTTCAAAATTTAAAACAAATTACAGAATTAATGCTGGGAGTCTTACAGGGAGTTAACTTCTGTCCAATCAAATGCATTAAGGTAAATTTATTAATAGTTGCTTTTAATCATCATCATTTATTCAGTTACCACATTTTGTGCTGATCTGGGTACCACTTCCATCAATCTCGCACTTGTGGTTCATGGTGACATTCAAGGCAGAATAGTGCAATGGTTTGCCAGTTTCTTTTGCACCAGAGATGTTGAGGTTACTCCCATCTCTCTTCTCAAAAGTTAGAGGCATGACCTATGAATTTTCTTTCTCCTAGAAAGGTAGTCAACCAAGTTTATAGGACCTAGTCTGCCCTGCTATTTACCCATAGTTGGAGGTGGGGGGGGGGATAAATTCATACCTTTCCCAAGAGTATTAGCACGTAAGTAATTGCAATGAACTTGACTGGAATTCAAACGACTCTCCAATTCCTTTATCTGAACCGTTATCCATTACTCCACCGTGCTTTTAATATTAAGACCGAAAGGTATTTTTCACCAACCAAACTTGTGAAAAATATAATAGTTGATTATATTAAAGCAACATTGAAATATATTTAAAATATATTTTTGATTAAATCTATTGCAAGTATATCTTATTTGAATTGAAGGGAATTCCTGATGACATTTCCTTTTAAAGTTAATTTAGCCTTTCTGTTATCATTCCTCAGGCTAATCCAACTAGCAACTGTAGTTCCCCATCAAGTGATAAGGAAAATACAAATGAAAATAGTGTGAACAAAGACACTGGACAAAGGAAATGGGTTCCTCCTAAGGTAAGTTTTTTTTTCCCTAGTTTTATTATTTTTATCTTAAGTATCATGTAGCAGTAGATTATTATTATTATTACTTTAAGATTTATTAATTTTTTGGTGGTCGGGTAGGGATGACTTCAATATTTATCATGCATGTATTTTAACCTGTTATTAACATTACTTTTTTTTTTTCTTTTTTTAATGACTTGGGTTTAAATAAGTTTCTTCAGTCCTTAAACCGAAATATATATCGAGGTACTTAGGAATAGTTACTGTGATGAGGGGGAAAAAAAAGATATTTTATGAAGTGTAATTATTATGAATTATAATAATTTTGGAGAAATCCTTTGACTAGTCTATTATCATTTATTAAAAATATATTTAATAATATATATTTTTATACACAGTTACTCCCTTATAAATACAGTATAAAACTTGAAGAGGAGGATAAAATCATAAACTGTGTTCCTGCAGCTGATTTAACGTAAGCAAATTATTTTTCATTGCATGTTTTTATTTTCAAGCTTTTACTATTATGTGAATTTTTTTTACTAATGTTTTTCAGTGCATGTTGTAATTTAAATTTTCACCATTTTCTTGCATGTCAAAATTAACCAAGATGAAAACCATTGAAATTTCAGTTTCATGTTTTTAAGAAAAATGCATTTGTAGTTCTTTAAAAGCAGTAGACAGCTGAAGTGTGCGTGTGTATTTTTACCCCCCCCCAAAAAAAAATTATAGGATATATACTAGGTACCTCCAATAATTTGCCAAAAAAACAGTATAGCATGATGAAAAAGGCCGCCAAACTTAATAAAAACAAAGTTTTATTGCAAAAATGTTTGTCATTAAGAGGAAAGACCAAAATGTTTTTTGATGGATTTTTTTTTTTTTAAGGTCAGTGGTGATATAATATTTAGCATTAATTTTTTAACTTTTTTTTCCTGTTTAAAACATTAATTTGAAATTCTCGCAAAAATCAAATAGTCACATTTTAATGAAACTTTTAGGGCTTATTCACAAATGAATGACTTTATTTTTGAAAATATTATTTTTAGAAAATCTTGGTTTTAAAAAAAAAAAAAAAAAAAATATTATATATATCTATTAACCCCCCCACCCCCACTTAATTTCATAAAATTTTCTAGAATTTAAAAATGTGAGAAAATGGTTTTATATTAGTTAAAAGCAGGACACCTTAGCAAATGTAAATCAATTTTTAAAAAAAATTTTTTCCTACTTTATACCAACTTTTCTAAAATCTGCTCCAAATCATAAAATAAAAACTGCAATAAAACTAAGTAATTATTTAATTAGATAAGCTTTTAATTGCTTCTATACATAATATATATTAAGGACATTATAGTCTGAAGAAAAAAAATTTTTGCAATAAATAATGAATTTTTACAAAAATTGTTTACATTTTTCTTTTTTTCAATTATAATAATTTATAAAGTTTCAAAAATGTTTTAAAAATTCTTCTAAATTCCACAATGAAACTTAGTAAATAGTCTTCAATTAATAATTTAATAAGTGAAAAATTGAAAAGTTTAATACAACTAATCACATCAAAGATTTTTACAATAATTAAAAATAATTTTTTGTCTGTTTAAATTTTCTTTCTCTTTTTTTTTTTTTTTTTTCTGGGTATAGTGTTTCAAAAGTAACATAGTCAAAAGGTACGTGTTTTAAGGGTTGAACTTGGGGGAGAACCCTTCATATAAATGTTTTTCGACTGTTGGCAATTCTTTCATTTCACTTTAATTTGGTTAAGTTTAAATAATTATGTAATTAATAAAATTTAAAGTAATATGAATATTTAATAATAAAATAACTGTCATGATAACAATAATAAAAATAAAATGAAAAATATATTAAAAAATATATTAAAAAATATAAATTAATAATTACCATAACATTTCATAAATTAAGTTACCTTTATCTGTTATTAAATTTTAAATTTAAGAAAATCTTATAGTATTTTAAATTTATTTTTTCATAAGGCATCTTCGAAAGGTAAATAAAAGTCAATAAATTATTAGATAAAAAAAGAAAATATGTTCATTTGTAAAAATTACTAGGTAGTTAAAAACAAAAAAATGCATTCACTTAGATTTCATAAAGTTATGTCAATTCCGGTCATCCATACTAGCTGTCATTACTTTTATTTTGTCAATAAAGATCAAAGAAGTACAGGATCCATTGTTAAGAAATGTTTCCATATTACTTTTTTATGCTATAAGTAAGTAATGTTTGTTTCAAATCATTAACTTAACTTTAACTTTGCTAATTTTACTCAAATAACATGTCACAAATATATATATTATTTTTGGAAGATTTTTAAAAGCGATAATTTTGTTTGGTTTATAATTTTCTTAAATTGGCCAAGAAGTTGAGATTCTAATCTATATAATTTTTATTTGAAATACACCAGAATATTTTACTGACTGGAAATAGTAAATTTAATCCTTTTAGCTTTCAATTAAAGCTAAAATTAAATCTTTAAGAATGCCTTTTCATTTTTAAAATTTCATTCTAAACCTTAGGTATCGAAAATTTATACTGAATTAATGGAGGTACCTAATATATACAAGTTACAAATATTTAAAATGCGATTTAGTGTTGAATCTGTTTTTAAGCACTACTACTTATGTCATCAAATACTTGAAAAGATACTTAAATTTTGAACTGATGTGGTTAAATTTATCATGTTTAAAAGATATTACAGTAAGAATATTTTAGATTAAAAATTTTCATTTACTTTTAAGATCTTAAAATGTAAAAATCTTTATGAAAATTCTTTTCTTGTTGCTTGATTTTTTTTTTTTTTATTTAACTATACCCCCCACCAAAAAAAAAAAACTCAATGTTATTAATTTGATCAGTTAAAATAAATGTTGTAATGTGATGCAAAGAGATTTCACTTGAACAAATGTTAATTTAAAAATGTCTCATTGTCATGAAAAAAATCAAATTTAATGTTTATTTTAAATATTTCAATAAATATGGTCAATTATAACTAAATTTACAAGTGGTTATTGAAAACTATTAATGTTCAGAATTTTTAAACAATTATGTAAAGTGATTTTTATTTTATTAAAAATATTAATCTACTCTAGTAAGATCTGGGTTGATCTTAAGCAGATTCATATGAAGTGCATTTATTTTGGATAGCAAATTTGTTTACAAATGGCAGAAATTTTTATTTAGGTATTGATTGTATAATTTCATTCTGTAATTTATTTTTACTACAAAGTGGTAATTTCAATTTATGATTAAATATCATTAAATACCATATTTAATAAGCACTATTTTATTTTAAATTCATTTTAATGATTGTGTAAGAATACTTTAATATTTTATCTGTTTCATTTTTATTAACCTATACTACTTCTTTTCATACTTATTGAATTTAAGTTTTGAAAGTTTTATGTATGCTACTTGGAAATAAAAACCAAAATTGATCACATTAAAACCATTTTTATATTTAGAATTTTTTTCATAAGTTTTCATTTAATAAAAAAAATTGCTTTTTTATTATATATATATTATTTTTCTCTCTTCCAATTAGTCGTATTGATCGGCCACCTTCAAAGGAACTTTTGCGGTTATTCATTCGAACTCATGCTTTACGTGCTGGACTGACATTTTCTAGTCCTTGGGTTGTTGATGAAGCCATGATTAAAAAACATAATATACAAAATAAAATTGCAGATGTTTTCTTGTCTCCAATGAAAGTAAGTTGATGTGGAAAACTTTTTTTTTTTTTTTTTTTTATGTAATTAAAAATCATTGGGTAAGCTGGATAAAGTCTGTTTTCAGAATATGAGCATGAAGCCAAAATTAGATTAGTTTAAATAATTTAAATTTATTATGTTTTTACCTGCAAAACTAGCAGTTATTTTTGTGTGTAATAATTTCCACTTAATTCCACAAAAACATTCTCTTTATCATTAACCATGGGAAGTTTTAATAAATTCAATTGTTTAATTATGAATGGCTTCTGTTTTCAAGTTTCTATCAGCAGAATATTCTGCTAGTAGTGTTACTAAAACAGTAGAAGCAGGTCAGTGCAACAACTTTGGAAATTTGAAATCCTCCCCATAGCTAAATATTTCAAATACCTATATTTGCAATAGTGTGTGATTTTTTTTTTTTGATTTTTTTTTTATTATTATTTATTTATTTATTTATTTTTTTTCAAACAAGTTTTGTTCACATTTTTCTGTCTCTCCTCTCACTGTTTTCTATCTAGAGAATTTTGAAAATTCTTTTTTATACTAACTATTCATTTTTTTCCTCTTGATATCACAATAAAGTTATCTCACAATAAAATTAAGAAGAACAGTTATATTAATTACATTTATCTACAATTTTTAATAAATAGTTATTTTTGTATTCAATAAGGTTTGTGTTGAATATTTTTATTTTTATTCTTACTTAAGATCCAAGACCCTGTGACACTGAATGAAACTGGGACAAAGAAACGTAAGTCATCTATGAGTAAATCTGGTTCAAGCACTGCCAAAAGAGCAAAAGTAGAAAAAGTAAAGACAAAGAAAAATGTTAAAAAGAAAAAAGAGAATGAAGATGAAAATAATAAAAAGAAGAAGCAAAGTAAACTTGATGCAGGCAGTACAAAGAAGAAAAATTCAACACTAAAGAAAAAAAATCCTAATCACAAAGCCAAATCTGCAGCAGCTGATTCAAGTGATATAGATTCTGACTCTAGTGAAGAATATCCTTTAGGAAAATTGAAAAAAAAGTTACCTACAATGAATGATGATGATGACATGCCATTAAGTACTTTGAAATTACAGCATACACCTATTAAAGCGAAAAAATCTGACAGCCGACAAAGCACTCCAAAAAAGGACTCTCCTAAAAAGAACTCTCCTAAAAAGGGCACACCTAAAAAAAGCACGCCTAAAAAAAACAAAAGCCCACAAAAAGATCAGATAAAATCCAAGAAAAGATCTGTAAAGGATGATGATAAGAAAAAGAAAAAAGAGAAAGAAAAAGAGAAAAAGAAGAAAGAAAAATTGAAAGATAAAATGAAAGAAAAACTAAAAGAGAAATCAAAAGATAAAGGAACTCCTAAGAAAGGAAAGGTAAGGGTAAATTTTTATATTGCACATTTGAAAAATATATCAATACACAACCCTTTCATAAGTGTTGTTTTTTTTTGTTTTTGGCAATGTGTGTTTAATTAAAAATAAATTCCATTTTAGCTGCTGGTTAATATCAAATGTACATTTTCTAAATCTTCATTTATACTTATGTGAACTTTTTTGTTTTTGTTTAGAATATGAAGCAAATGACATTGTTGGAGATGTCAGCAAAGAAAGGACCTCGAACACCAGACAAAAAGAAAACTGTGACTGCTGTTTCTCCACAAAAACCACCTTTGATTGTGCGGAAGTGAGTTAATATAGTTTGATGATGGCCCTTTTTAAAAATGTTGATATTACAAAAGTTTCTTTAAATCTATAAGAATATTTTGCAATACTGTTCCTAATAGTATCTCTAAATTGAACATTATGTTTTTTTTTTTTTTTTTTTTTTTTTTTTTTACATTTGTTGTATTTTATTTAAAAAAAAACAGCTCTGAAAAATGCTTGCACAGTTCAATTAACTAATTTTGTAAAACAGGTTGGTTCTTAAAGTTAAAATCCAATTTTATAATGAAATTCATAAAATACTAGAATATTTCTTTACATGCTTTTAATATTGTACTTGATTTAAGTTTATAAAAAGGCTAAGAATTCAAAACAATATTATCAGCCATACATAAAATTGATGAGTAAAAAATTAAATTATGAAATTTACAAATATGAATTTTTATCTCTAGTTAAAATTAGAGAGGAAAATGAATGGATAGCAAAATGGTTATCATAGAAAGTGGAAATGGTGAGCCAAGTTCAAATTTTGGCTTAATCTGTTGTTCACTTTGCATTAATGCCTCTAAGAAAGGTATGAATCCATGTCTTACTCCCCAGCTATGGGTTAAATAGAAAGACAGATTGGGTGGCAGCCAGTTAAGGACAACTCTGGATTCAAAATTCAGGAATAGCATCTGTAGAGAGCCATGATTGTCTACATCATGACATAAACAATTGAGATTGGGGCCATGACAAAAGTAAATCTTTACTCGAAATGTTTACTTAACAGGTATTTTCAAAATTTTTCTGCACATTATTAAAATTTTATATTCTCTTAGAAATCATAAATATATCAATAAAGATAAGGATCATTTCTGTCGGTTTTCATTTTTAAATTGTCATTATTACTAAATCACTGAGTAATTGACAAATGTAAAGATTTATCTTTTCAACAAGATTTAATTTATGGAAATAAGATTAAAGAAATGCAAAATGAAAACTTGTATTTAGCTGTTGTCAAGTATATGTCTCTAATTGTAATTCTAACAAAGATTAGTAGTATTATGAATGTATAAATTGAATTAATGGGCCTTGAAATGGGTTAAAAAAAAATGAAGGTATTTTTCTGGCAATAGCCAGATATATACCTTCATTTATGAACACAATATTTGACCAAAAATAATGTTCATGTAACAAAATAGTAAAAAAAAATATGCTAACCTTTTTATAAAGATTATAGAATGTATTTAAAAAAAAAAAAAGAAAGAAAAGCTATATTATATGGGGAGTTATGCAAATTTAACTGTTTCCATTTTAAAACAAATTTTCTTTTAATTGTGAAATATTTTACATTAATTTTATACAGTTGAGGAATAAAAAATTGACATTCGTATGGACCATTCAAGTGGAAGATGGTATTGAGAATAAAAATTTATATAACCATATCTCTATTTCTACAAATTAAATTTTAAATACTTAGTAATTACAAATAAATTAGATCAGAAGGGAGGGGAAGCAAATATTTTTATAGCTACCTTCTACTAGATGAGATTAACAAAAATAACTAATAATAGAACAATTATAATGATATACTGTAATAAAGTATGTAATGAATAGAAGATTTTTACCCAGATATATTCCAATTTCTGTTTTCTTGAGATGCACAACAGATCAGTCATTCATTGCTGAGCAGTAGAAGTTGTTCATGTTATACTGTTGCTAGTAAATAAGTTAAAGGAATCTTGAGCAATCAAATTTTGTGTGGAGATTGGTAAAAATTTCTAGTGAGCAATTAAACTATTAAAAATGGATTATAGTGAACATATGAAGAAATTGAGTTTTTGGATGGCACAGGCAGCTCAAAGAAGGGCAAGAAACTACACAATGGCACAAGAAATGGACAGCCCAGAACATAATAGATGCAAATATGGACAGTGTAAATCTTGGTGCGCTTAAATTGGTGATTAAGTGTGCAACTGATAGAAGTGAATATGAATAAGGAAACAATGTAGCAGATTATAATTATAGGATTTGGAAATAAGAAAAATTTCCTAAAAGGTGGTGCCTTGAATCAGATAAGCAGAAACAATGTTCACTTCATGTTTCTTCTGATTTTTTAAATAATGCAGAAATGGTGATGAAATGTGGTATTCACAGTACAATTTATTGAAATCTTGACATCCAGCACCATAATTGTTATATTACTGAAAGGTATTCTTGGAAATAAACTCCAAGAATGTTTCCAGCAATGCCACCATCATTTCATGAAGTTCATAACTTTACAATGAGAGCAGGTGATATCAGCTAATAACCAAATAAGCTAACTTTTAATTCATAGCGTCATTCTGGGAATTGAATTATTACACCTCATATAGTCAGTAGTTTTGATATATTGAAAAACGTTTGAGTTCTGATAAGAAAAAAAAACTGCATTAAATATGTGTGATCATAGATTCAAACATGGTTTGGTATTGAACAAATTAGCATCTAGGACATGGATGTTAAATTAACCCAATAATTTAAAAAAATTTATTTATTATTTTTGTAATTAAACCAATAATTTCACACACATTTTCTCTATTCTATCTTCTGTAAAATGGTAATTTTTAAAAGGAAATTGTTTAATATTTATGTATTTATTTTAAATTTTTTATCATGTTGAGTTTTGGTAATTAAAAAAATAATTTTATTTCAGATTAATGACTGCAATGAAAAACAAAGATTCAAACAGAACAGAATACAAAAAGATTCTACAAAAAGTTATTCTTCATTTGTCTACTCAACAAAGAGAGAAATTACCTGCTGAGGTTAAGGACATTGTTCAGAAAGCTTATGAATTACATGAAGAGAAGAAGAAGCTGTAAGCATTACCTTTTTCAGTTTTAAATATATTTTATAATGTTGTCCAGGGTGGTTATTGAAATAATAACTAGAACAACAATTTACAAAGTATAAGGGTTTATTTCAGACAAGAACAATACAAGTAGATATTTACAAGTTTGTCTGAAGCTGGAAAGCAAACCCACCTGAGACCAACACCATACATGCTTATATTCCTACTGACACAGTTCATTTAATAGAGGTGCATCAGTTCTTTGTATACTGAGGGTTATCAGTTCATTCCCTACAACAATATATCAGCTATATTAGATATTTAGGATCAGATGTTAATTGTCAGGAAACAATTTTTAATAAAAAGTTACAAACACATTTGTAAATTAAAAATAAATATTCTAGTGTAATAATAAGGCTTTGGTGAGTTAACAGAATTGAATAGTCAAAATTGGATTGAATAATGTTTATAATTTACAAAAAATCTTAGTAAAATCCAATTATTAGAAATAAATGCTTTGAAAATTATTAAAATATTTTCTTTGTAAGTAGATTCTACTTATTTGTTAATCAGTGTTATATAGTTGACATTTTAAATAATTTTTGTGTTAAAGAATTTGGCATAAAATTTAAAGTTAGAAATAAATTTTTCTTAATCAGAATTGACATGATCCTATAAAAGTATTTACTTACAAGTTTGAATTTTGTAGTATTTAAAAAATTGCACTTATGAAAAAGAAAGTATAAATATTTTAAGTTTACAGTTTAATTTTTGATAGTGACTTCATAGATTATTTTCATCTCAAAACTGATTAATTTGGAATGCATAGTCTGTGATTTTGTGATAGACATTTTCAGAAATATTAAAAATTTCTTATTCAATGCCAGAATTTCATTTAATATAAATGAAGTTATCTCATTGATGAAAAATTTAAGTTACAATGTATTGTCATTGTAGCAAGTCAATGTCTGTTGAAGAAAGAGAAGCTTATCTGCAGAAGAAGAAAGAAGAGGCCAAAAGGAAACAAGCTGAAGAAAGACGAGCAAAACAGGCAGAGATCAGAAAAAAGAAGAGAGAACTGAACAGGGTAAACTTTAAAATGTTTAAATTGGAATAGTCTTAATGTTTTAAAACAACTTTATATAATGACATGGACAATTATTTTGAAAATTATTTAGTGTTCCATTTACCAATCACAAAGAGGGCAGCTGTTTATTGTTTAATAAGCAGACTCTGGATAGTCACCTTTTTATTTATGGAAAGATGTGTTTTTTTTTTTTTTTTAATTATTGAAGAGCCCGGTATTGTTATAAAACATGTTTTTTGTTTTTCACTTCTGCCTCTTATTTGGATTGTACATAGTTTTTATTATTTCCCAAAACTTGGAATTTTTTATGGAATTTGTATTCAATGAAATAGCTTTTGTAAGTCTTTCTGGGTTTCCTGTTTTAGAAGTGACTTTTTTAATACTAACCAAGTGTATTCTCTGATTTGCATGTAAGTCCCACTTTCAGAGTCCACAAATTCTTTGAAGAATTTCATAGTTAGATTAGTGAACTCTCCTTCCTCCAATAAGGCGTGAGCTTTCTAGCAGTGCTCTCTCTGTATGATGGATCCTGGCCTTATATTGTTCTTTTTTATTTTATAAGTGCTAAAGTAAAAGCTGATCTATCTTCTAACTTTAAAAAACTCCTTTTTCTTTTCTATGTTTCTAAAAACGCAGCAACCATCTACTCTTCTACCTGGTTACATTTCCTTTTGTGAAATTTCATCTCCTCTATCTTGACAATTACACCTCACCCAATTATATACTTTTGTGCAATTATTTTTATGCAAACTTCCCTAGCAAAATTGTACTAATCCATTAATGTTTTGAATATCGCCTAAGTTCCTTTTGCACAAATTCTAGCAGTTTGTTTACCTAATAGTATGTAAATTTGACTATCAGTTCTAGCTTCAAGTCCGATCCAACAAACCAACTATTGTACCTAATAGATTTCCTAAACCTATAATTTCTACCACTATACCTATAAATTAGCTTGATCAAATTAAAAATACCCAATGAACATCTATCAAATTTCTTCTCTGTAATCCTATCTATCAGTTCTTTCCTGAAGCTAATTATTTCTGATCTGCTCCTACATATTTCATACATATTGTTATATACCATAAGCTCATTTCAACAATTGGTCAGATAACTGCTACATTTAAGACAGATAAATAGGCCAAAATAAAAACACTTGTGCAGTAAATTTCTTTGGAAATACCTTTTCTGCTGCAATTTTGAAGTGTCAGATAAACAAGACACTTAAATATTACATTTTGTATTTTAACTCGAACTTTAATAAAATATTATAATTCTTTAAACAAAAACTTAAAATTTTGTACATATTTTATATATTTAATAGATATATGTTTGATTTATTTACATTGTAAGATTGTGTTTAAAGTATATTTAAAATATGTTTATTAGTATTTTTGTTTTAAATACTTGAAATGTCTCATTGTTAGCGATATGAAGATAAGGATTTGGAACATAAATCACTTCCCCAACCAAAAGTGGTTCCTAATCCAGATGGGCTTCCTGTAGAGGCATTTGGCGATGTAACAATGATCACAGAGTTCATTAGTTGTTTTTCCGGACTGCTTATGCCTCAAGATGAACAAGTTTTTTACACAGGTAATTATTATGACTCAATTCTATTTCTATAGATTATATTCAGTCCTTTTTATTTTCATTGTTACTAGTTACCCATAGTGTCAGAAAATTACAGTAATATTTAAATATTAGATATTTTGTGAGTACAATGCCACTACAAAAATTACTAAAAATAATTTAAGATATAAATTATGGGATTTTATTTGCCAATCTTAAAATAAATATAATCATATGCACACTGGTGTGTTGAAAAGTTTTCAGCTTGACCCAAATCCCCAAAATCATTTCAATTATTAAACATCCAAGTATTTTTTTTTTTTTTTTTTTTTTTTTTTTGGAAGGGTTAAAGGAATTTGAAAAATGATGTTCCAAGTATGTTGAACTTCAAGGTGAATATGTTGAAAATAACCTGTACATTTCATGGCTCTAGGTTATTCTTGGTTAAACTGAGAACTTTTCAGCACCTTGTGTGTATGGGAGAGATAAATAATATATAAAAGGTGCATATTGCATTTTATATATGTAAATTCTATATTTTCCTTTTGTTATTCAACATTTTAAACTATTTTACTTGTTTGTGGAACTCTCTTCCAGCTCTTTGCTTCCCAGTCAACTTCGATCTTCAAAGATTTAAATACAATGTCAATCATTATCTACTGTCTTAATTGTTCTTTTATTCTCTCTTCTTAATAGTTTTTTTTCTCTCTCTCTCATATTCTCTAATACTCAGTAACCTGGTTGCATCTTAGTGGCTTTATTGCTTTGCTTGGAGTGAAATGATTAAAAAAAATTCTTTGAATCCATTCTCACAGGGGTGTGGACAATTTCTACTATACATTATAATACATTTAAAATAGGTACTTGAGCAACTCTTAAATGTTGACTATCCATTTTTTATGATTATTTTTCAATTTTTTTTTCTGTATATATCTAAATAAAACTCAAGAGGCTTGTTTTCTAAATTAGTTCTAATATTTAAAGAATTGAAAAATGTTTCATAAGCAATAATCTTTTTTACTTTCCAATCCAACTTATTTTTATTGTCTGGTTTTCTTTAAGCTTGTTTAGTATAATGTGTTCAAATTTAAAAATGCACTGAATTCTTGATATATTTTTTGTGATCATAAATTTAGACATTATGGAATGATTAACAAATGTATATTTATACCAATAAATTCACTATATTTGTAAATATTTACCAAATTTGATCTTTAATAATTATCAACAGTATACGATAGCTGAGAGATTAAATATTTTAAGTTATTCTTCAATATTTCAATGAATTTAATTTTAGCCATTAAATTTTTAAAAAAATCTTTTTATTTTTTATAGATTTAACAATGAAAGCACTAGTCAGTGGCAATGATGGCTTTTCTTATATATCTCAAATTCTTGTTATACTATTACAAACTTTGTTACAAGATGAAATTTCTGAGGTAAGTGTTTTATTTTACTCTTGGTTTAATTCTAATTTACCAAGAAAATATGTGAAAACTAGATAATTACTATTCATTGAATCAAACACCCCTTTTAAAAAATGTAATGATTCAATCTTTTTTTTCTTGGAAAGTAAATATGTAGCATGTGTAAAATTCTTTTCTTTTTATTTTAACTAGCAGTTGTTTTAAGTCTGCTTACATTTTTCTTGTGATTTTCATTCATTTTAAGACTTTAAATCTTTCAAGGAAAATCATGATTCAGTCAAAACTAGTGAAATTAATAATTACTTATCTGAATTTGGAATAAATATTTATAATTATTTCTTGCTTTGTTCTATATTTTGATTTTTATTCAGTTAATATAAATTAATTTTAACAATGTTTGAGTAGTAATTTGTCAAGATATGTGTAAGAAGAGATATTGGAGTATATTTTATGTGAAAAAATCTCATAGAATATTTTCAGTTTTGTCTAGTTGCAATAAATTTTTTAAATTATTGAGAGTGAACATGTTTAATTTGAAATTCTGTTATATTTTAAGCATTACGTTATGAGTTCGGTTAATTGTGTATTCATTATAGGAATTCTAAATTTTAGTATGTCTTCTTACTGGCATGTCATAATAGTTAATGCAGAAGAGTGGGTGAGTAAGCATACTTGCAAACCATTCCTTCACAAGTCATTTTACCAGTACTCTGTCTCTAAAAATAGTGGTATATGGTTATAGTATAGGTACCTCCAAACAAAATGTTATCGTCTAAATGTTCATATTATTAGGAGGAAAGATCAAAGTATTTTGGGGGTATTTTTTTTACATTTTTTTAATCATTCCTAGCACGTCCGAAATTTTTGTTAATCTTTTTTTTTTTTTCTTATCTTTTTTTTTTTTTGAGTCAGCAAAATAGACAGTAATCAGTCATAGCAACCATTTTTTTCCATTTTATAAATAAAATGAAAATCTCAGTTTGAAATTCTTTTAAAAATCAATTATCATTTTTTTCAAAACTTATTTTAATAAAATCAGAAATTATGTTTATTTAAAATATTTTGAACCAAGCTTAACTTAGCTTCTGCGCTGAAAAGATGTAGTTTGTAAATAAAACAAAGCATGTTATAACCTTTTGCATCACTTGACGGGTGATGAATGATGGATTATGTGAGGATAATTTGTTCTATGGAAGGAGAAAAGTGAAATTATTTCGATTTAAGTGAACAAATTCTTTACCTCGTTATTTTTAAGGAAAACTTTCAGTGCTCTATTTTTTTTTTTTTTTTTTGTACTTAGCTTTCACCTTTATGTTTACGATGCCTTATGGAAAAATATATTATAAAGAAATTAAAATAAGACTGGTAAGAGTGAGATTAAATTTCATAAGAAAGGTATCTAATTAATTTATAGGTACCTTTCTTATGAAATTTTATCAGAAGCGTACATAAAATACTATAATTTTGTGTACATTTATTACATTTTACTGTGTTATTCGTATTTCCATTCATTTTATTATTAATTTTGATATTTCATTTATGGAAAAATGTCATAACTGAGATTAATATAAAAATAAGATCATATAAATTTCATAAGATGACACTGATACTTGTAGGTACCCTATGCTTAACTCAGATAATGCAACTTAATTGTATTCTGGTTGGTCTTCCGTACTTTATAATTACAGCCCAATTATAAACACAAAATATTAATTACTTAATTACTGTGGGGTCTTCTGATTAGTCAAAACTATACAATTTACAATGGTAAAAAAAGATCTCTCATAAGGACATTTACGAAAGTGGGTCCAATTAAAAAAAACAAAACAAAACATGATTTGCATTCCTCAGCGTTGTTTTTAATTATTGTAATCACTAAACTGGATTTGATCGAATTTCTAGATTCTTCATAAAATTAGTTATTAAAAAAAATATATTTATGCCATGACTTTAATTAAAAAAAAAACATATTTATAATAATTTCCATCATCTATGAATAGTTTCTGAAAGTTTTAACATTTGACAATTATTTTTATTTTTGCAAGATTTTTCAAATTAATGTGTGTCATACAAAAAAAACCTGCTAAAAATTGTATGTTATTTTACTAGTTCCAGTGATACAAAGAGAAACAAGGTTTTTTTAATCAAAATTTATAATGTTCTAAAAAGTAGGAAAATTTTTTAAAAATAATTATAAAAACTTTGGTCTTTCGTCTTCATAATGACATAAACATTTAGATACTAAAATTTTGTTTTCGTCAAGTTTGGCGTCTTTTTCATCATGCTATGCTCTTTTTTTTTTTTAGTGCTCTCATGGAGTTACCTATAGTGTGATTGTTTTTATTTACATTTGTAAATTTTTTTCCCCTCCCAAGGATTACTCGGAATTGAATACTCCTCTTGCTGACATCCCGGTTAATCCTTATACTGCTTCTGAACTTGTCCGCTTAGCCCTAAGGAAAAATGATATTGATGGTCCTGATGAATCCCTAAGTGATGTCAGTTCAGAAGATGGAGCTGAGGAAGAATTAGAAGTAGTAAGAAAACTTTTTTAGGTTTCAGGAGCATGCAAATTTGGTTTGTCTTACCATCTGTTCTACACTTTAACAGATACAATAAAAATTCCTTACTGATAAAAATACATCCTTACATTTCAATTTTATACTTTTATGAATTCCCTATCCACTGAACTGTGTTATTTATATGCATACATTTATGAAAAGGCTACAAAAATTTATTCTGTCAGTAAACTTTTACACAAATTGAGCTGTACATTATTAATTGGGGTACATTTAAAAATTTTGTAAGCTTTTGTAATAAGTCACAATAAATTAACAGTAAATATTTTTAATATCCTTCTTTTATAGTTTCTAAATACATCTTGAAAAAATTGAAAGTTGCTGTATGTGCTTATGTTCTGAAATATTTATACATTTAAATTTTTAGAATGAAGAATTAATTGAAATGTTAGAAAGTCATGAGCTGTATGAGTTGGAACCTATGCAGAAACTCCAGATTTTAAAAGGATTGTGTTTACGCATCATGGGCACTTACTCTGTGCAGGATTTCATGGAACAAAAGCAAGCTGAGGCATCAAGTCTTTGGTGAGTGATTGTAAATAGTCTTACTCTTTCAAACTTTTTCCCTATTAAGTTATTAATTGATAAATCTAAAGGAATAGACTAAACATGTTAATTATTTTAATTAGCCTACTACTTTGATAAAAGTTTAATTTGTGGTATTTTCCTATTTAAATTATATAGGATAAATTTAATTACTTGTTTTCTGCTGTAGAAAAATTTTCAAAGGAAGATTCAGTAAATATAGAAAACTGCTTTACTTTAATACTTGGTGTGTATTTTACTCTGGCAAATCAAGATGTCTCTAACTTTGAAAGAAATCTGATTGGAAGAAAATAAGAAAAAATACTGAAATTGATTAAATTAAGTATATAATCTGTTCATTCTGTAGACTGTTGGAAATGTGAACATAGATATTGGCTAAAAGTCTGCTACATTTTAAAGAAAAGTTAAACTATTTTAAAAATGATTTTGTATGTTAGGAATTATGCAAATTTAAAATCTTATAAAACGCAGATTGTGTGTGTGTGTCTGTACGTTTATATATTGGATCGGATTTCCTACATTTTTCAACCGATTTCAACAAAACTTCACAGGACTACATAAAATTACCTTGTGGTTCTGACAGCGCCAAAAATTGGAAAAACACAATTGTTTTTGCACAAAATCAATTTGAAAACACAATTAAGAGGCATCATGAGAATGAAAGGGGGACAACTCATATCGAGTTTTACTTATTATAAAACCTAGGTTTGTGTGTGTGTGTGTTCGTTTATACTTACATTTTTCAACCGATTTCAACAAAACTTCACTTTTTTTTTGGCAGGTAGTGTTTCTTATTGTCTTGCACACTTTTTTCTTTATTTTTACATTCAGAATGCTTAAAAAATTCCCTTTACAATTATTTATAATAAAATTCTATTCAATCTGTAGACTCATAACGATTGAAAACAATGTTTTTATTTGAGTTTGGGTTTGACCAATTCGTAAAAAAAAAAAAAAAAAAAAAACTAATTAAGACATCTGTCAACCTTAAACAATAATCTTTGTCAATTTTATTTTTCAGTCTTTATGATGGTGGATACTTGATCTATCTCTTACTGTTACATCCCCGGGCAACGCCGGGCTCTACTGCTAGTGATTAATATGTTGTGTCTTCAACCTTCAATTATAGTGTTAACGTTTAACAAATGGGAGGGGAAAAATACATATTAACATTTAATAAATGATTAAAATATATATAAATTTTCCCTAATTTTACAAATGGAACACTTAATATTTTTGAAATGTTGAATTATGCATGATTTAGATTAAGTGGCTAGATAAAATATAGATATTTAATTTAAATATCTGCAATGTATTTTGTTCAAATTATATATTATGGACACTTTTCTTTAGTGAAGTCTGCAATTCATTTCTGTCCTTTGTGCATTGAAATGAAAACATAAACATGCAGCTTTAAAAAAACAATTGAAATTTATATTTTGGACATTGCTGTGTTTCTTATATTAATAATTTTATTTTTTATATAGATAGTACTTATCCTATGCCTTTTCATTTAGAAACATATGAATATTGTCATCTTGACTGTTATACTTAACATTTTGAACACTATTATTCAGTAACCTCCTTAGAATTTTGACTGAACACTTTATTCAATCTAGAAGTAGATTATTTCCTTGCTTCAGCAATATCTTGTCAGTATTTTTGTTTGTTTCTTCTCATGAGCACATGTATATGATTTTCCGCATTACCCAGTTCATGTCAGGAAACCAAATAAGATTTAACCAAAGCTTTAATTCACTAGACTATCACTTAAACAATCCAGTGGTGTAATTTTTTACTCTTATTTTGTAACCGTCTACTTTGAGTGGCTCTAAGGCCTTGTATAAGGTGAACATCATTGTTTTAAAAAATGCTTTTGCACAGCCTACAAAACAGGTATACATGTTTCTGCATTTGTATTTCTTGCTCTGATAACTTTCTGATCATAAAGATCACATTTCTTGTTCTAGTGTCTTTAATGAAGCCACACTGTTCTTGTATTCTTCCAGTCTAATTCTGCTACCAGCTTTATTCATTATGATCCTAATGACAAAGTTAGTTATGTGGCTCATTAAGCTGATTGTGATGGAATTGGCATTCTATTGTGCATGGCTTCTTAAGCAGCACTATGAAAATTAGTGTTTTTCTGGTATGTCACCACTGTTATATATATTTCATTTATTATTTCTGTAATCTTTGTCAATCCCAAAATCATCTAAAGCTGATAGCATTTCTATTACAATACTATCTGGTAGATTTTGACCATTGCCGATCTTATACAGACTTTAATATTTCAGGTCCTTCCATGTTTTTGATATTGTAGGTTTCCCGCTTTGTCATAGAAGATTCTCTAATCTATTCTTTCCATCTTTGAAGTACTTTTATCCTTCTGTTACAAACATTCTTGCTTTTGATTTTTATTCATCCTGTTAAAGAGCACATCTTTTGTCCTGTTTATTTTATGCATCCCTGCTTTTTATCTATGTTACTTAATTTTTATATCTCTGCACACTTTTTATTGAACCATCTGTCTTCCACATGTTTACACTTGTTCCTAAAGTTTGTGTTTATTCTATATTGTGTATCATTCCTTGGCATTGTTGTTTCTTTTTCATAATCTTGAGAATTTCAACTGTATTCCACTTTATTTTTCTTGTTTCTCTTTCCTTGGGATGATCTTGTTTGCTAATGTCACTAGAGCTTCCATTGAGGTGTTCTACTTTCCTAACCTCCTCTTAGTATATTTGCTCTTAATTATGTTAACATACATGTCTTTGCAAGTTGAGTCTGCTGTACTGTAATTTAGGCATTACTTTGGATTTCTTTATTTTCCATAATGTATTCTGAGTTTGTATATGACTGAAATGTGGTTGCTCCCACAGCTGGCACTTGGATAAGTTTGATTGTTTTATTTTATTTTTTATTTTTTTATTTTTTTTCATGTCAACAGGCATCTTGGGGGGCTCTTGAATCCAGGTGTTGATCATTTGGTCATTTGCTGTGCAGCATTGGACCAATTTTTTCATTACTCTTGTGAGATCCTAGTATGTAATTGCAATTGTATTTCACCGTCTTACTCCTTTCATACTTCAGTATTAGGTCTCTAAAGATGATGGTAATTTCTTGTGATTTGCATTAAGACTTGACATTATCCAGTGTGCTGCTAATTTCTTCCTTGCTTTGTGCCTTTGGCACATATACTACTAGAATGGATATACTGAATGGGCCCCCTTTCAGTTTAGCTTAAAAAATTTGACAAAGTTTAACCTTTGTGCCCAGTAGGTCAAAAGGATGGTTTCCATTAACATTGCTATTATTTTTATACTCCCTTCACTTGGCGATTTCTATTTTAAAAAGTGAGTATTAGAATTTTAATAAGACCTAAACATATGAAAGTAAATTTTCACATTTTCTTTCTTGATAATTTATAACAAAAATATTAAACACTATTTTTAGATTGTTTATTTACAAAAATAATTTTATATTTGCAACATTCTAAAAATGTGAACCAACTAGTACAATGCAATGTTTATCATTTACTAATTTATGAAGAAATAAATATGAAAACTATTTTTTTATTCATAAATTTATAATAATTTACTAAATTATAAAGATATGTGAACCAACTATGATGAAATCTTTATTTACCATTTTATAAAGTTTAAATTGATTGGCATTTAGGATTTCTTCATCAGCCAGCATTCGGCTGACAATAAATAATCGTTTGGCAGATTTTCTAAGTATTTTAGATAAATTAGCAATGATTTAAATTTTTTTTAAAAATGTGTAGGAAGGGGAATAACCTAAAATTGCTGGAGTTTCGGGTCTTGGATTTCTATTGCTTGGACATTCTTGAGCCTAGATCACGATTCTAAAAAAACTGGAAAATTCAAACAATGTAATCTGAGATATAAAATAATTTAAGAAAATATATAATGTCTGGAAATATATTTATTTAAATTTTCTTGTTTTATAGTTCATAAATATTTTATAAAATTATGAATAAAAAAAACTTGTTTTCATAGTTATTTTTATTTATAAAATGGTAAATAAATATTGCATTGTAGCTGGTTCACATATTTTGTAGATACTTATAAATTTTTGAATAAAAAGATTTCCTTTCAAATTTATTTCTTTATAAAATCATAAATACAAATATCACATTTTACTTGGTTCATATTTTTGTAATTTTGTAAATAAACCATGCTGGAGGAGTTTGTAGTATAAAGTAATAGTGGTGTCGACAAAAAAAGCTATCATTACTTTTCTCTCCATGTGTCTTTTGTTTATGAATGCCCCATTATTTCCCCACTTAGTTTCCTATAACCCCAGGATGATAATATTTAGCATGTTCATATCCTGCTTGACATTTTCTAGCTATCTTGATTATGGTCTGTTGCAAATTGTTGGATGCTGGTCAAGTAACACTTATTGCACATGTTTCTTCTTACTGGATGAAGAATCAATCCCAAGGGACTTGACCACTTTCATGCCTTTTATATTGTTTTGTTTGTTTTTTTTTTGTATCACCACTTCTAGTTAGCTGGCTGTTAGAATTATTTTGCCATTAGATATTTTGTGTTTAGTTTATTTTTTATGCTGTAACTTCAGATTTCAAATATGATTGTGCTGCCATGAAAAGTGTATTTTTATTTTTGAAACTGGCTGCATCAGTACTTGAGGTACCCCACTTAATTTAATAGTGCTGTGTACCTGGTTTTTAGGTAATGGCACTAAAAACTCAAAAACCTTGCAACTGCTGATATTCCCAACAAACAACTTCTCTAAGCAAAAACTGCTTGATATTTCTACCAGGAATATTTTCTATCTAAGCTTATAGCCCAATCTGATATATGGTCACAAGTATTGGGTACCCATTGAGGATTGAATAGCAGTTTGTTAGTAATGTCAATGCTTTTAAATTAGGTTATATTTACAAAAACAAATGCTGTAAATGGATGTTTTGTACAAGTGTCTGAATAACAAGTTTAAAAAAAAAGAATAGTGAAAGTGTTTTTTTTGTTTTGTTTTTTTTTTTGTTAGGGTTTAAAACTCATTGTTTGTTTTTATGACTTGGGTTTAAACTAAATTTAAAACTTTATTATAAGACCTAATAAGAAAAGGGGAAGACATACATCATTTTTAATATTTCTGGAAATCTACCACTCTGACTTGTTTCTGAAATATCTTTTTGTAACTGTAGGCGGAGGAAATTGTCTTCTCTGAAAGAAAAGAAACAGCAAAAAGAACTTCATGGTATGAAAATATTACAAAGCAAAATTGAAGATTTAACTGATACAAAAGAAAATAACCCCAAAAATGGAAATGTGAAAGAAGAATTGCGAAATATTAAAAGCTCTGGTAAGTAATTTTTCTATGAATGATTTCTATAAATTTTATTAAAGCAGAGAATATGTTCAGTATTTATAAAATATATGAAATTTAAATGATTGTTAATCCTAATTTAATATGATAATTATTATAAAGTTTGATAAAGGAAAAACATTATGCAAAATATTACTATTCTAGGTGAGGTAATTTTTTTTTTTTTTTTCATATTGTAAATTGATCTTGTAGAGTATAGTTAAGGAAATGAAGCATACCAATTTTCTGATGGTACTGATCAACTTTTTATGGCACAATTTGTTATAGACACAAAGGAAAAAATGGCATCAAAATATTTGACACCTTGACAAGTGAAATGGCTACAAATGCTGAAGCAAATAAGAGCACCTATTGCTCAAACAAAAACAAAACTAGATACTTTGTATAAAGGCAGAAACCAGTCTGTGTTCATAGCTTATTAAAGTTGATTGAATTTAATTGCCTTGTAGCAAAGTTGAGACCACAATATCAAATTACCAGAACATATTAGAAAACAAAGCTTTGAAAAATCAAAGACTAGATAAAACCAATAAGTGAGCTAAATCTTAAATTTGTGTAAGAACAACTTGTTACTTCCTTTGATAAGGTCCAAGAAATGCTAGTCAAAGGATAAGTAAATGATGCCTCCAGTCACCAAGGAACAACTTTTGGTACTTGTCCAAAGCCAGAGGTTTCAGACAAACTGTATTTTGTTCATTGGTTTTTCTTGGTGCTCCAGTAGAAGTGATGGAAATACAAAGAGAATACTGATAAATAACAGCTTTGATTTTTCTAGTGGAAGGCAAGCTAATCCTACAGGGTCTGATAGTAGGACTTCTAAATAGTATCTCTAGCTGCACTTTAATTGAGCCATATGCTGTCCATGCAAGGAAAAAAAATTCCCAAGACAGTCAAACAAGAATATTACAAATATTGTGCTAATCAGTCAAAAACTACATGAAAATAGTTTTCTTTTTGGGTTTGTAGTTTGGGACAGTATGTGGAATTGTTTGTCAAAAGTTTTCTGGAAACATTGTCAAACAATATTAGGGCAAGCATGAATATGCAGGAAAGTAAAAGGAGTTACAAATTTGGAAATTTAAGATGTTCTCATCATTAAGTCATGTTATAATGCTATGTATTCTTGGCATTATTCCTGTTTTAGTTAAAATGAATATTTTTTGTTTAGCAATGTTTCCATAAAGATAACCAAAACAAGACTTAAGTTTTGAAGATGATACAGTATTTATGCTTTAAAGAAAGATGAAACTTAAATGTATAGCTAGACATTACTGTTTGTCCATGCCCTTAAAGGGTGGCAGGATAATACACTTAAATCATGGAAGAAAATGCTAATAAAAACATTAAAAAAAAAAAGTAAAGATTGCTATTAAATTGCATAGACAGTTTATCCATCCAAATGGAAAGAAAATGTGGTCTAGCAAGGGGTGCAGGTGTAAAAGACAGAATTCATGGAAATCTGAGAGGCCATTCCAACTTCTTGTCAGATGTATATAAGATAGTAAATGGTTGAATCCAGACAGCTCATAGTTTAACAAAACTTTGGTTATGGATATCAAAATCTTTGGTGCTGAAGTACTGCATCTTGTTGACCATGGTACTAGGTACAGTGACTGAAGTTAACTTCAGTAATCATTACTTTTTGTGACCTGGCCTAAAATTATAATATAGTTGTTCAGCTGAATGAGAGACAACTTGATAGATAGTGAAGAAAATTGTAGAAGATGCAGACCTGCTTGAAATACTGCAATTTTAAATGATCAGCTTCCTGAATTGGAGAATATTTCTGTTATTGATTGTGATCAATAATCTCAGCAAAATACATAAAGCTAGAAAATTTTTATTTTTGAATATTAGTCATTTAAAAAGCTGAGATATGTACTTTGCCACCAAATGAGTCTTGTGGTCTTCTAATATACAAGATACGAGAGTGACGGGTACAAATAGGTGATCAGCAAAAGATAGGGAACATGCATAACAGCATTTGCCCCATTTGTTGATGCATCTTAGCAGACATAGGAATCATGACTGATTCTATAACCATCTCCTGTCTACAATGCTTTGTCATATGAACACTCAACAAACAAGTGAGAAAACAGTCAGTTAAAAGGTGGTGTTGAGAAAGATAATCGAATGGAAGAAAGTGATTTAATTAAAATAGAACAGTACACAATCAGTTCTAAAAGAGCACTTAGTTTTTGTTCTAACAATAGTAGTTAGGTTTGAAACCTGGACAAATAAGTTGTAAACACTCTGATGATAAAAGAATGAATGTTATAAACAGAATGGGCAAAGCAACAGCAATAAATTTAGAATTCATGTTATGGATCAGTGGGTTCTTTTGATTGGTCTTTAAACTTGGAGTCTGAAAAGAAGACAAATGATACAGTAAACATCTGATAGTGAAGATTTGATGCTAGATAGGTAACTCCATGAAATCACTAAAAAAAATAGCATAGCATGATAAAAAAAGATGCCAAACTTGACTAAAACAAAATTTTATCGTCTAAATGCTTGTTATTATGAAGATGAAAGACCAAAGTTTTTTTTTATTATTTTAAAAATTTTTTACTTTTCAGAACATTCTAAATTTTGATTAAAAAAAAAAAAAAAAAAACCTTGTTTCTATTTGTATCACCAGAACTACAAAATAACATACAATTTTTAATACGTTTTTTTTGCATGACACACATTAATTTGGAAAATCTTGGAAAATAAAAATAATTGTCGGAAGTTAAGGAAACTTTCAGAAACTATTCATAGATGATGGAAATTATTATATATGTTTCTTTTCTTTTCTTTTTTTTTTTAAGTCATGGCAGAAATATTTTTTTTATATTCATTACCCCCCCCCCCAAAAAAAAACTAATTTTATGAAAACTCTAGAAATTTGATTGCATCAGGTTTAGTGATTACAGTAGTTAAAAGCACAAGGCTTTGAGGAATGCAAATTGTTTTGTTTTGTTTTTTTAATTGGACCAATTGTACCTGAAAATCAGCTCTGAATTGTAGCATACAAAAACTCAATAAAACAAAGATATTATTTAATTTCAAATGCTTTTATTTGCTTTTAGTTGTTTTTATGAATATGAACAATATTTTCTGAAAGCAAAAAATTTTTTCGATGAAAAATGAATTTTTAATACAATTATTTGTTATTTCTTAATTATAATAGATTTTTACATTTAAGTTGTTATAAAATAAGTTAAAACCCGCATCGGGTTTCCTAAGTGTCCTTATAGATAGATCTTTTTTTAGTGCGTTGTAAATTGTATCATTTTGACTAATCAGAAGACACAGTAATTAAGAAATGTAATTTTGTGCTTATAATCGGGTGGTAATTATAAAGTATGGAAGACCAACCAGAATACAATTAAGTTGCGTTATTTGAGTTCAGCATTGTTCTCTGCTGTTAAGGCCTTTACTTTTGCGAAACACATATGGAGAAGTCAATTTGATTTTTCAATTTCAACTGAGAAGGGTACCTACAAGTATCAGTATCATCTTATGAAATTTACATGATCTTATTTTTATATTAATCTCAGTTATGACATTTTTCCATAAATGAAATATCAAAATTAATAATGAAATGAATGGAAATACGAATAACACAGTAAAATGTTATAAATGTACATAAAATTATAGTATTTTATGTACACTTCTTATGAAAATTCTTTCTTATGAAATTTAATCTCACTCTTAAGTCTTATTTTTTCATTTCTTTATAATATATTTTCCATAAAGCATCGTAAACGTAAAAATGAAAGCTAAGTACACAAAAAAAAAAAAATTAGAGCGCTGAAAGTTTTCCTTGAAAATAACGAGGTAAATAATTTGTTTACTTAAATCTAAATAATTTCACTTTCTTCCATCCGTAGAAAGAATTATCATCCCATAAGTTATCTAAATGTCATGAAAATGTCTTTCGTCACCTGTCAAGTGACGTGAAAGGTTATGACCTGCTTTGTTTTATTTTCAAATTACATTTTTTCGGCACAGAAGCTAAGTTAAGCTTGGTTCAAAATATTTTAAATAAACATAATTTCTGATTTTATTAAAATAAATTTTGAAAAAATGATAATTGATTTCTAAAAGAATTTCAAATTTTCATCTTTTTTATAAAATGGAAAAAAATGATTGAAAATGATAGATTATCTGTCATTTTTTTTGACAAAAAAAAAAAAAAATTTTTAACGAAAATTTCAGATGTGCTAGGAACGATTAAAAAATGTAAAAAAAAATACCCCAAAAATACTTTGATCTTTCCTCTTTAATAATATTATGAACATTAGATGACAAAATTTTGTTTTCATCAAGTTTGGCGTCTTTTTCATCATGCTATGCTCTTTTTGTTTACATTTTGTGGAGGTACCTATAGTATATAGATTTTGTGAATTGGTGGAGGCAAAGAAAAAAAAAAAAGTTGGATTGTAAACAAATTCCTGTTAATGGTTATCCAGTACACACACAATGGATTTATATAAAGAATTTAATTAAAAAAAAATATTTTTTTTACATCAAGACTAGTAGCAAAAGGTGATAGCCAGTGACAGTACTTCTATAGTTATGAGGTTGTTGCATTCTTCAGAGGAGCTTATATTCTCTTTGTTCAGCACCCAGCTCTCACATGTGACTGCTAGTAGTTGTTTGCATGTAGCAGCAATCCTCTTGTGGGCAACATCAACTGTCTAGCTAAACTATGTGAGAATAGCTAATGGGTATGTAATCCCTGGTGAGGGAATTCAGCAGATCTGTTGAAAGAAATGTCTGATTCAACAGCTGTGGAAGCATGCGCGGTAGCACACTGCAGTACTTGGGCCATAACTGAGCAGAAAGTACATTATGGCTATTATTGAAAGAGGTAACATTAGAAGTAATTCCTGTGAAGGTCCTATGAATATCTTTTTGATTGCAATGGAAATAATATCCTCAAATAAATGGATTTGTGAATATGAAAACTGTTTTTCTGCTAGAAAAGACATTTGATAAATAAATCTAGCTCTAATTTTCTTTGGAAACTAATGTAGTACAAGGTAGAAGCTGTCATAGTGTGTCATATACTGTTCTTGCATGGTATTTATTGAACATAAAGGAATTAATAAAGCTAGTGGTCATTCCATAAAAGTTAAATATGACCGAATCATATTAACATCGCATTTTAATTATGGGATGCATAGCATTTTCACTACCCATGTTACCAATTTTTTTTGTTGAATCTTTTTTTTTTTTTTTTTTCTCTTCTTCATGTTACTGTGCATGCATTTAATGTTATGTCTCTTCAGTATGGAGGCAATCATAGCTCTCCAAAGGTTCTTTTTTTTTTTTTTTTTTATTTCTGTGAATTGCCATGCATTCTTGGGAAAGGTAGATTAGGCTAAAATTTGAACTTTGCTGGTTCCACTTTCTGCAATAATATCAATTACATTATACATACATAATCACTATTGTAGTTCAGTTTTGTGAAGATTTACAAATGAAATTAGACAAATCAGCTAATTTTAAGTATATTGGCTTGAATATAAAGTTGGAAAAAGTGTATTTGAGCAGGATGAATAATTGAGAACCTTATAACTGTCCCACTGGAAATTAATCTTTGGTTAATTTCCAATGGGAACCACATATGAGCCATGATACAAATAAACTGTTAAGAGAAAAAAAATTCATGTAACCTTGAAAAAATATTAAAGATTTTGCTTCATTTACTAATTTGTTGAGTGGAATCTTGCAAGGAGGATCTGTTAATTTTGCTTGGTAAAAATGGCAAGTATGTGACTGTTTCTTGGTAGTACAAATACATTAAAAGTGTTGTCAAAAGCACTTGATCATTCTTCATTGTATGATGCAGTATATTCATTGACTGAAATTTTAGATAAGAGACTACATTCAAGTTTCTGTTAAAGAAGGATGAAATAAATATATTATGGATATCAAGTAACATGCTGATTGCAGATTCCTTAACAAAGGAAAGAAGACCTTTCATATACTTGACTGAACTAAAGAATCTTTGCCACATTCAAAATAAAAATGTCAAGCCTTATTCAGTCTGAAGTGATATGAAGAAACTAAAAAGATGGAGTTATTTCTTTAACTATCTAAGTAGAAGACATTGGATGATCTGTCTGACAGGGAGTAAAGGGTAGCATGGTGATGAAGCTTCTGGAATCTGATGGACCAACTTCTTATATCATGACTGAGCCAGTCGTAGAAGAGACATGAGCGACAATGATGCAGTCAGCCACCACCAACCAAATGTTTTCTGCCTCCTGAAACAGCGTTGGAGTGTCTATCCTGGTCCATTCTTTGATGTTGTCCCTCCAGCTTTTAGACTGCCTCTCCCTACGTCTACCCCCTTCCAGAGTACCTTGAAGAGGACCATCTTGGGTAGAGTATTGTGGCAAACCAACTAAGGAATGGTAAAGATGAATTTGCATAGGTTATATTCTTGGAGTTGAAAAAAATATATATAGGGTATGCCAGGTAATTGAGAAATTAGGATTGCAACAAAAATTTTGATGTCTAAAAACGGGGATGGGGGTTTAAAGTTTGTGTGATTTTTCTTTTAAAATTATATCGATGAATGATCAAATCAGTGATCATGAATAAATTGGTATTTCAGTATGTTTATATTAGAATATATATATATATATATATATGAAATGGACTATGTCCAAAAACTATTTTAATTGGACAATCAGGCTTGTAAATGTTGTTAATACTGTTTATTATAAACAGAGCATTTAGTTAAATATTTGTATCTATAAAAATAATGTATAAACAAAAAATATGTTAAAATAGTTGTCGGATGTAGTCCATTTCATAATATGTCAGTTGTTTACATTAATATATGCTTTGAACAGATATGAGTGTTCGAGAGAAATCATGAAGTTTGTAGTTCAAAAACAGTAATTTAACCTTGCTAACCAGACGCTTCTTCTGTAGCTAAATGGTATAGCATGTCAGGCCATATTGTGGTTCTGTGTAGTATACAAGTTTGATTCCTGTCAGAGGACACATATTTTATTTGAGATTTCTCAGACATCCAGGCCAGTAAATGTTGTTAATACTGTTTATTATAAACAGAACATTTACTTGAATATTTGTATCTATAAAAATGATGTATAAACAAAAAATATATACATACCTACACCTGTATACTATCAATGTATTCTAAACTTTTACATGATTTGCTTTTCATCAGCTTTGAGAAAAATAATGCTTACTAACATATCTATTAAAAAGGAACATAATTGAAACTTAGAATATTCATATTCTATTAAAAAAAAAAAAAATTGACTCCTTGAAATAATTACAAACTTTTAAAAAATAAACAAATTGAAAATATCAGTTATTATTCCAAAGTTAATTTTATTCAGCTATTTCAGTAGAAATATGCTGGTGTCTTTGTTACTTGCCTCTTTCCAAGTTTCAATCAGGTGAGGGTTCACTTAATATTTTTCTTTAGCATGACAGAAAACAATCAACCCAGAGATTAAAAAAAGTAATATGACATTTTTAAAAGATAAAAAATTAAGTTTTATTATAATCTACATTTTTTATTACTTGAATCATTTAAACTGTAATTTTTCAATTTTGCTGAGTGTATTTTCTGAAACAGTGGTTATTTAGCAATGATCAGAATACTAGTAGGTTTAGTTAATTTTTTTTTTCTATCAAAGCACTTTTAATTTGAAACTATTCAAAAATTTTTTAATGTTCCTTTGTGCTATTAAAAACAACTATTGGCTATTTTAGGTTTAACAATAACAGATTTTTATGGAAATAATGTAATGGAAGATGATGTTGAGGAAGAGCTTTTGGAAGGTGGCTTGGCGTCTGTTGTTAAACGGCGTCGTCAGAGAGCTGCTGTAGCAGCACAAGAAAAAGAAAAACGTGATAAGGAAGAGAGAGAAAGGTAAATCCTTATTTTCATTTAGTCTATAAGGTTATTTGTCTTTATCTAACAAAGTTGCATAATTATTGGCGAATGAAATGATTTCCTATGCCTTTCATTGTATTTTTCCTGAGCTTAATACTGCTAAGTTGGTTTTTTTTTAAAACAGTTGATTGATGTTCAAAATTAAACTGATCTGTATATTTCATAAGCATGAATAATTTAAAATAATTCTTAAATTGTTTTTTTACTGTTAATATTACTTTCAGTAAGTAGTGAACGAAAATGTTTACTTTGATTATTAATTATTTGTAAAGATATTCTCACAAAATATAAATTCATGTTTTCACTAGATTTTATTTTTAGATGTATGTGTTGAGTATTTTTCTCTCTTTCAGAAGAGAGAAAGAATATGCTGTAATGCGCAGGATAAAAGAAGAACAAGCCTTTGAAAAAGCATTTGCTGTGAGTATTTACAAACATTGCTGTTAAAGCTTGAAAATAATATTTCCTTCTCAAAGAAGTTACAACAAAACTGTTCTGAGTTTCTGTTAATGGAAATTATAAATGAAATACTTTTTAAAAATTATAAAATTTAAGAATGATTGTAAATCTGATAATATTTTAATAATTAATTATTTAAAGTGTATTGAGTGGAAGATAATTTTTTTATTTATTTAGGATGGAATTTTATTTGCAAAGATGGTCCTCCGTCTGTCACCAATTGGAACTGATCGAAATCATAATCGCTATTGGATATTTTCTAAATGTACACCAGGCCTTTACATTGAAAAAGGTATATGTACTTTTTTAAAATTAATTTGTCTTTTCTGATGTTACATAACTAACATGGCATCTGTCAAAGCTGATGCATTATTTACATATATAGCTCAGTACTTCTACCTAAGATCAAAGAATAGTATCTGTGTGCTTCATCTAAAGTGAGTGTCATTCTGCCTAAGATCAGTGTAGTATCTGGGAGTTCTGAGAAAAGTGCCACACATACAGTGTTTTTACAAACATATATATATGAGTGGATATTTGTATGAATCTACCTATACCTAATCCAGTAATTTTTGTTGTGTTAAATATTAAGGATATTTTTATATTAAACATACTTTAAAACAATTGTTTCCCAATTATAATTCTGAATAATAGGTTTCGATATAATTAGACAAAATAACCTTATATGCACATGGCAAAAAAAAATAAAATCATGGATTCTCTTTAAATAAATTCTACAGATGTATAGAATTTTCACCCGTTTTCATTGAGAATGTGTTATTAATTTTGGTTATATTTTCAAAGGTTTTTCTTTATATAATTAACTCTATTAATGTTATTTCAGTCAGTTATGTGCCATGCATGATACACACGTAGGCAATCATGTCTTTTGATACATGACCAATGAGGCAGATTTTTTTCCTGCAGTAGTCCAGTTGCAATCCAATGCTATAGAACCTGGTCTGTCCTGTTATTTACTCATAGTTTGCAGGGAGAAGAGGATTCATACCTTTCACAAGGGTATTAGCATGTAAGTGAATGTAATGGACTCTACTGGAATTACTCCACTGTGCCTCCTATTTCAGGAGGCATGGTGGAGTAATGGATAGCAGCTCTGATTGAGAAATCGGAGAGCTGAGTTTGAATTCCGGTCGAATATATTACATTCGCTTTTATACCCTTGGGAAAGGTGTGAATCCTCTTCTTCTCCCCCCCAGCTATGGGTAAATAGCAGGACAGACCGAGTTCTATAGCCTTGGATGGCAACCTATTGTGGGGAAAAAAAATCTGCCTCATCAGTCATGTATCGAAAGATACATGATCACCTATGCATGTTTCGTGCATGGCACACAACTGACTGACTGAACAGTCTAATAGAAATTTTGCTTTTATGATAACTAGAAGTGGTTTCCATGATACCATAACAATAGGATATTTTATTTTCAAATAAAGGAAATGATGTGAAATAAATGCATACAGTTAAATTGAGTTTTCTACATTTAACAATTTAGAAAAATATTACTGAAAATATATTCTTGATTTAGTCATTTTTTTAAAAGAAATTGTAGAATTTTTTTTTAATACACATTATTCACAAACCTTAATCAAATGAGTAAATTTTGCATTAACTAGCATACATTGTATTGAAAACATCTAAGCAATGGCAAAAAAAAGGTTGCGTACTGCATTGAGCATATTTTTTACAAATTACTTTCATTAACCTTGCATAAGTCTCTACAATCTTCTATTTCTGGCAGAAAATTTTGTTTCTACTCCTATTTACTTGATATTTTTACTTTCATGGTCCAAATGAAGTAATTTTCGTGTTTTAACAAACCTGACAATTCAACTTGCCGCATGCCTTTAGTCTCACTTGTATGGTGAGTAGGAAAATAACTACTTATACAAGGTGGAGATTGCATTATTAGAAAGCACAAAGAAGTAGCTATAAAATAATTACAAAAGCCTTGGACATATCTTTGATCTCTAACACTTTCCCCCCAGCCCCTCAACCTCCGACATCTTACTCTCTGGGTTGAGGTGTCTACTCGGTCCTAATGAACTTAAGGAAGTGGCTGTAGGTCCCCTGAGCATCCGTAGATTATTCAACTGGTCCACTGGTTTAATCCTGCTTCCTGCCCACGTTGTTTGATTTGATCCAGAAAACAGAAGTGATGTTCATCAATTTAGGGTCGACTGAATATGTAGACACGGCTGGAGAGTCTGCGCTAAGAAATTTAGAATGCAGCAAAAAAAAATTAATATCTGCAGAAAGCCAGACAAACAGCTATTCAAAGAACAGTAATTGACGTAAAAACACATACACTGGATTCTGGACAGAGAGAGAAAGAGAGTGTGTTATGACTAACTTGTTGTTAAATTGTCTCAGAACGATATACGACTCTTGCGATGGGGGAATAAGATTTCTGTGCATGGCTTAAAGTTTATAGTGGCATTCCTCCTTAGCAGTAGTAACAGTAGTAGTAATATTCGTGGTAGCAGAAGCAGCGGTACATGATATCAACAGTACATGTTAGTGGACGCTTTGTTCCAATCTCTGACGTCATTTTCTCTTCTTCTTGAGTCTCCAACTCTACTCTCCACTGTCTCTAGCCCAACTCTTGCCTGGGCTACTTCTCTTCTGTCTACTTCCTCTTCAGCATAACTATGTGTTTATATAGAAAAATCTGGCTGGTTACAACTGAACCTTGGCCTTACTACTTCACACGCGAGTTTCACAGTGTTATAGCTGTTTCAACCAAAATCATGTGAATTCTAAAGTTCCTTCTAGCTTACTCAGCTCTATTTCAATTTTTAACTGATAAAAATTATTTCGACCATTTCCATTGTCTCCTGATGACCCAGATTCAATGGGTACAAGTTCTGCCCTAGATCAAATTTCCCCATCAGTAAACAAAATGCTTTGATTTAATTTCGCTATTCAACTGTACTCCAATTTCACTAATAAAAAAAAAAAATATACGTGTGTGTGTGTGTGTGTGTGTGTGTGTGTTTTTCCCGGACACTTTCTGTCACAGATCACACTATAAATAATTCATCAAACATAGAAAGTGCCATAAAATATGAATGAAAGCCTAAATCTGGGTATTCAAACAAAATTATTGGCAAAATCAAAACAAATCTTTTTTTGAATTGCAGCTACCAATCCATCTGTAACTACAGGCTTTGGTAGTTGAAGTTAAAATAGACAATATTTGTAGAGCATTGTAAAACACTGCCCCTCCCCTAAATGTTATAGAAAATTAACATTTGGGTAATAATAATGAATGGTTTTATGTACTGTTAAAATATGTACTACTTTTCTTCTGAAAATCATTGAGACCATTAAACAGAATGGTTATTTAAACTATTTACATTATGTTAGTTAAATAATTACAATACCTTGTCTTGGAAATATAGACAAATATTGAAGAAAGAATAGTTGTTGGGTCTCAATGTGATTAGCTTGTAATATAAGTATACATATGTTAATGTGTGTATTTCATATCTTCAATTTCCCCCTTTTAGTCATGTACAGATATTTTTATTTTTTCTAGATCAACTTAGATGATAGAGGAATGAGAACCAGTCACTTTTTCTAATTTTTTCTCTCTCTGAATATGTTTTCAAATTGACGTTTATAGTGATTTAAATTTTATTTTGCTCGCTTTTTTTTTTTTTTTTTTTTTTTATAAATATGACTTTTTATAGTATTACTTATTCTGTACCTTCAAGATCTTAAAATTCTGATAAATGGCTCCTCATCTGGGGAGGTGAACTTAGGCAAAAAAAAACGATATATATAAGTTAAGCATAATTACAAATTTATTTCTTTATTAACAGTGGTGGGTAGGGAGGTATATACTGAAAAATTTATAAGGCTTGCTCTTTTTTCTTTTTTTCTTCTTTTTCTTTCTTAAGAGCACTTGCTCTGCATTTTCAGATAAATAAGTATTGAAATTATTTTGTCCCATTTAATGTTACCATTTTAATAGAAAAAATATGTAAGGATAAATATTCCATGAAGCATGAAGACTGTATAGTAAGTATATTGGCTTTATATTTGTTTCTAAATTTTCTGGTCCTTTTCTACAAATTAGATGACAGTTCCTTTTGTGACAAACATGTTTTACTTTTTTAGGTTGGATATCTGATGCCATTGAGTACACTTTTGAAACAAAAACAACAATGGAACAAAGTTCTGAAAGCTCAGATGATGAGACTGTCTCTGGTTCTGACACTTACCTGCATTACAACAGAAAGAATATTGAAACCAGGTTATATTTCACTTTGTAACATTGTCAAAATTACATATTCTATTTAATTCATATCAATAAGTCTATCTTAAGTATGCTTTAAATGCTATCAACTATATCACATAAAAATAAATTTTTTGCACCAATCTACTTGTATATTATTCTGAAGTCAATTGTATGCATTCTTAAGTGTTTTGATTTTTTTCAATGTGTGAAAAATTATATTTGATCAATAAAGATTTAAATTTTAAAAAATATTAAGAAGGGTATAAAAAAAGAATGCACTGAACTGTTTAATCTTTTGAAATTTCCAAAATTCATATGTACTTTAGTTGCACCAATACAACACCAGAATGTATTATTTGAAACAGTGATTGTAATTACTAATAATTTTCACTACGATAAGTGCTGAAAAGTTCTCGGCCCGACTCACTTACCAACTCTGACCAATGACCTAGCTTTTTTTTTTCTTCTTCCTCCCCAGGTCAAAAACTTTTTAGTATCCTTCAGTATATCTGATATACCTTAAAATTTAATTATGTTGGTTCTGATAAAGATGAAATGCATTAAGAAATAACATTGGCAAAAGACAATATGTAAAATTTGAAAATGTATTCAGCCAAATGATTTTAAAAATATTGGACAGCTTTGAAGGGTTTTTTTTTTTTTTTTTATATTTTTTTTAAGCATTGCCAATGTTCCATGAATTATTCTGATATGTAATTTTATTATTTACACAGCAACTCCTTATCCCAGAAATCCAGACAAAAATGCATTTTTATTTGTGGCTATATAGGAGAAAATTGTTTTCTGGTATTCTCCAGGTGTATGGTGAATCCTGTAACCTGTAACTTTTGAGTGCTGGCTAATTTTTTCTTACTCAAATTTCAACCAACTCTTGAAATCTTCTAAGATTTATGCTGATTCTAAAAATTGTATGGCAGAGTTGTTTTTAAAAAAAACAAAAAAGAAAACATGGGAATAATAGTCTGAAGTTATTTTGAATAATTTTTAATAATATTTCTTTATGTAAATTAGAAAATTACTAGATTAAAAACTCAAAAATTTTAAATGTTTACTTTTATGATTATATCAGCACAAAATTACTTTGATTAAATGATGTTGTGGTTAAGATTTTGTATATTTTCTGTGGAAAATACTAAATTATGAAAGATTTCGGGGATTTTAAAACTTGTGTGTGTGTGTGTATATATATATATATATATATATATATATATGTGTGTGTTTTTGTATGTATATATGTCAAGTCAATTTGTTTTTGCAAACCAGTTTTAAACAAACATAAAAATTATTTAAGACTTGGCCTAATATATTTTATATCTATTTTCTTTCTTTTCTCTAGTTTCTTTTTTAAAAGTATGTATTATCAAACAAACTATAATAGTAAAGAATTTCAGCATTTTTTCTTTGCAACAAAGTTTTAATTGTAAATTTTTTGTTCTGATCATATACTTATTATAAAACCCAGGTTGTGTGTGTGTGTCTGTTTCGTTTATGTATTAGATCGGATCTCCTACATTTTTCAACCGATTTCAACAAAACTTCACAGGACTACATAAAATTACCTTGCGGTGGTTCTGACATCGCCAAAAATTGGAAAAACACAAGGTTTTTGCACGAAATCAATTTGAAAACACGATTAAGAGGCATCGCTGTCAAGAATGAAAGGGGGACAACTCATATCGAGTTATACTTATTATAAAACCCAGGTTGTTTGTGTGTGTGTGTGTGTGTTTATATATGGGATTGGATTTCCTACATTTTTCATCCGATTTCAACAAAATTTTTCTTTTTTTTTTTGGCAGGTAGTGTTTCTTAGTGTCTTGCACACTTTTTTCTTTATTTTTACATTCAGGATGCTTTAAAAATTCCATTTACAAGACAATTGTTTAAAATAAAATTCTATTCAATCAGTAGACTCATAACGATTGAAAACAATCTTTTTGTTTGGGTTTGACCCATTTGTAAAAAAAAAAAAAAAAAAAAAAACTAATTAAGACATGCGTGTCCGTCAACCTTAAACAATAATCTTTGTCAATTTTATTTTTCAGTCTTTATGATAGTCGATACTTGATTTATCTCTTACTGTTGCATCCCCGGGCACTGCCGGGCTCTACTGCTAGTTTTTAATATTAGTTTGGTTCATTCTTTTTAGCTTCCCAAATACTGGACAAAATTTGTGGTTTGTTTATGATACAGTTGAAGAATTGGATAAACTTATGAACTCCCTCCATCCACAAGGTGTCAGGGAAAGTGCCTTGAAAGCAGAAATCAAAAAACGATGGGATGATATAGTAAAACATTTTACTACAGTTAAAGGGTATGTGCCTTGATTTTATAATGTTTATAAAGTTTATATAAAACTTTGCCAATTTATTCAAATTTTCATCTTCACTTTTGTTCAGCTGAATAATTTGTCAATTAATGACAACCTTTCATATCAGAAATTCAGATACTAATTTTTTTTTTCTCATTTTAGAATTATCCCAAAAGAAGAAAATCCTTTTGAAAAGAACCTGATGGCTGCTTTCAAAAAAGTAATTTTTTTTTATTTCCTTGGTATTGTTTTTTATAAACAAAAATGTCTGTAAGCAGATTAGAATTGTGGTAACTGAGATATTAGGGAAACAGTATAATATTTGACAAGGAAGAGTTTAGCTGTATGAGTAAACTTGGCTTCCATAGCCTAATCCAGCTGTTCCCAATCTTTTTTACATTATCACCTACTTTCACATAGAAAAGATTTTTCACTGCCCACCTGTATAGTAAATATTCAAAAGCATACAGTGATGGCTAAATTATCTTTTGACCGGTACTTTTCCTGTCTTGATAAATTTGAGATGGCCAATGTGATAAAAAAAGGAAAAACAATTTTACATTAAATCAAAATTATCCTGAGATCACTTTTTAATTTTACTAGTAAAGTTCCTGGTCTTCCCTTATTTGATTTATATTGTGGGGGGTGTATTTCGTCTGAAGAACTATTTGAATGTTAATGACCCTTCTGAAAACTATAGAAAATATCAAAAATATTCTTTGTTTGTATTGGATATTTATATTCTATCTAAGAATGTAACCCAGTTACCCCCATTTAGCCTCCCTTTTTTTCTTTTTTTTTTTTTAATACTGATTTTTTGCATATCTGCTTTGAATATTTTTTGGTGGGTAGTATGTTTCTTTTTAATATTCTAAATCCTATATCACCCACCAAAGTTTTCACTTATTGCTCATCCAACAGTTGAAATTGCCCAGGCTGGGAAAACCTGGCCTAATTAGTAAAGTACTATCCATGTTAGAAGATATGAGAGATAATTACATGAGTGGTTACTTATTTTTAATCTGTACTGTTTGTATAGAATGTAAAAAGTCATGGACATTGCAATAAAAAACACCAAAATCGAAATGAATATAAAATAAAGATCTAAAATAATTTGAACAAATTAGTATTCTGATTGAGTATTTTACGTTTCTTCAGTTTGCTATTCTCATATCTTTTTAATAAAAGTGTTTAGAAATGTCACTGATATTTCAACTTTGGAAAATGTGAGAATAGATTTAGAGGATAATTAAAACAAGTAAAGATTTAAAAAAACATGAAATTTACTGATAGGAAAACTGACTAATTTTATTTGTTTCTCAGTATTGTTTCCTAGTTATTTGTTCAAAAATTGTAACCTATAAAAATTTCCTTTTAAAGGAAGAGCTAGCAGATTTTAGGAGAGTTGGTTTTTTTTTTCTGGTTATTATGTTTTAGTACAGTGTTTATGAAATTTGCACTCTTGCATTTATGTAGTAAAGATATTTAAGGAAAACATTTGATAGGAAACAATTTCTCTTTTTTTAATTCATCTATATTCATGTGTACATTTCTAGGTGTGGAATGAATGAAAAATCACTTGAAAAATTAGTCTATATATTTAAATTGTTTTTGATTAATGTGAGCTTTGTAACTGTTTATAGTATAGCTGTATATTTATTGAATAATACTAATCAAAAAATAATTGAAATGTCAGTTCATTCATAAAAATTTGTTATAACTAGTTAAAATTTGTGGATAACTTTAAACCCATGAAATATATTTATTGTTCATGTGAAAAAAATATTAATGAAAAATTTTTCAGGTATCAAATGAAAATGTTTTACTAAATCTTTTTTTTTTTTTTTTTTTTTTTTTTTTAGGAATTAAAAGAAACTGAAACTCGTTTACGGAATGGTGGTCTTGGTGGCGTGTATGGACAAGATGAGTGGGAACAAAAACTGGATAATGCTGTTTCTCTGTCTGAATTAGTAAGTTTCTTTTTGTGTATGCATATGGTAAATCATAAATTTTCTTTATTTTAATATGATACTATTATTTTGGCATTGTCCATGTTTTTTTTTTTTTTTTTGTACTCCCATCAAGATATTTGATATTCTCATAGAAAGACTTGACAATTGATATAAAATTTGCAAATAAAGTACATAGAATATGATTATAACAAGGGGTAAATTTTCTCTATAAACTTTGTAGAGCTGAGGAAGCATTTATTACTAATCTTAAATTTTATCAGAAGCTGCTCTGTGTTGAGCTATTGAAGTGTAACCCAATAACTAGGCAAAGTCATATACAGTATCTTCCACTGGATCTTACTGATACTGACAATTTTTTTTTTTTTTCTAAGAACTGCTACTCGTTGTCAATAAAGTTGAGTATCTTGTGGCTATGTAAAATTTCCATTTTGTACATCCTTCTATTTCCTGTTGATTATTTTCGTTTAATACATGTATGTAGTTGAAATATCAGAAAAAAAAAAAGGTTAATTTAAAAAAAAAAAAAAAAATAGTAAAAAAAGTTAATACTAATCATAATATAGCATATTATATAATATGTACCTCTGAAAACCAAATTCAGAAAACAAAATAATCTAAAAAAAATTTTTTTTGTGTGTGCACGTGCAGGGAAACTGCATGTTGGAAACACAGAGTTATGTTTTGGAGCGCTTCCTGCAGGGTATTATGGGAAAATCGAAACAGAAAAGTACTGATTCAGATAAGAAAGATGATACAGTTGGTGATAGTGCTGGTAAGTCTATATAAAAACTCATTTCTGTTCAAGTTGCAATGGTTCAAGTTTCAATTAATCAATAGCATGTTTAACATAATTTTGCTCATACAGTTTCAGAATGTAGAGATTTTTGTTTGTTTGTTTTAAAAATTCAAAAGAAAATGTATTTTTTTTTCTATTTTTCTTTTCTTTTTCTGAAAATCAAATTACTGAATTCGTGATTTGTTGATTTGTGTTTTTACTGCTGTGAATGTTGATCTATTAAAATCATGTAAAAATAAATAAAAAAATATTAGTTTTATGTAGAAAAATTCATTGGTTATTTGATTATAAACATATCACATATTGAAGATTTGAACTAATATTGTTATTAAATATACCTTATTTTTTCCCTTTTAAAGTAAAAGAGGAAGAAGAAAAGGAATTAATTAATGTTGGATATCAGAAATGGAAGGAAGCAGTTGAAAACTGCAACACTATTTCCAGAATGCATGTTCTCTTGGGAATATTGGATGCTTGTATTAAATGGGAAAAATCAGCTGAAAATGCAGTAAGTGAATTCTTTATTTTCATATTCATGACAGTCGCACATATAAAAGATGATACTTCATTTTAAGAATTGTGCTAAAATTTATCTCCTTGTTGTGAGAAGAATAAATCCTTTTTATGCAAAAGTCTATTTTTCAAGCAGTCATGTAAGAATTTTTTTTTTTAGTTATGTAAAAGTGTGAACTGTTAAGATTTGAAATTTCTAAAAACAGACATGCATATTATCTCATTGACTAAAGCATTTGTTTTTCAGAAATGTAAGATTTGTCGTAAGAAAGGAGTTGGTGAACAATTAATTCTCTGTGATGAGTGTAACCAGGCATTCCATTTATATTGCCTTCGACCTGCATTACCCTGGATTCCTGAAGGAGATTGGTATTGTCCTGCCTGTGTTGTAAGTTTATTTTAATTCTTAATCCAAAAATAATTTCAAATTTTACTGGCAAATTTTGTTAATTTGCATATATTAATTTGTGCATTTCAGTTGATAAAATTCTTTACCTGATTACTTAGAAGATTTATTTTCTCGTGTACCATTTTATGAAAGATAGTTATCTGAATCTTTAACTTAGGTACCTCCACGAGATCGCTAAAAAAAGAGCATAGCATGATGAAAAAGACGCCAAACTTGACGAAAACAAAATTTTATCGTCTAAATGTTTGTTATTATTAAGAGGAAAGGTCAAAGTATTTTTGGAGTATTTTTTTCCATTTTTTAATCGTTCCTAGCACGTCCGAAATTTTCGTTAAAAATCTAGTTTTTTTTGAGTCAGCAAAATTGACCATTTTTTTCCATTTTAAAAAAACTGACTTTGAAATTTTTTTAAATATCAATTATCATTTTTCAAAACTTATTTTAAGAAAATCAGAAATTATAATGTTTATTTAAAATATTTTGAACTTAACTTAGCTTTTGTGCCAAAAAGATGTAATTTGAAAATAAAACAAAGCAGGTCATAAACTTTCGCGTCTCTTGACATGTGATGAATGATATATTTACGAATTCTATGAGGCTAATTTTTTTCTACGGAAGGAGAAAAGTGAAATAATTTACATTTACGTGAACAAATTATTTACCCCGTTATTTTTTAAAAACTTTCAGCGGTCTAATTTTTTTTTTTACTTAGCTTTCACCTTTATGTTTATGATGCTTTATGAGAAATATATTGTAAAGAAATTAAAATAAAACTGTTAAGAGTGTCATTAAATTTCATATTTCTTAAGAAAGGTATCTAATTAATTTATAGGTACCTTTCTTATGAAATTTTATCAGAATTGTACATAAAATACTATAATTTTATGTACATTTATTACATTCTACTGTTATTTGTATTTGCATTCATTTTATTATTAATTTTGATATTTCATTTATGGAAAAATGTCATAACTGAGATTATAAAAATAAGATCATATAAATTTCATAAGATGATACTGATACTTGTGGGTAACCTTCTCAGTTGAAATTGAAAAATCAAATTAACTTCTCCACACGTGTTTCGCAAAAGTAAAGGCCTTAACAGCGGAGAACAATGCTTAACTCAAATAACGCAACTTAATTATATTCTGGTTGGTCTTCCGTACTTTATAATTACCACCCGATTATAAGCACAAAATTACATTTCTTAATTACTGGGTATCTTCTGATTAGTCAAAATGATACAATTTACAACGCGCTAAAAAAAGATCTATCTCATAAGGACACTTATGAAAGCCGATGCGGCTTTTAACTAATTTTATAATATTTTAACAACTTAAATGTAAAATCTATTATAATTAATGAAATAACAAATAACAAATAATTGTATTAAAAATTCATTTTTCATCAAAAATTTTTTTGCTTTCAGAAAATATTGTCCATATTCATAAAAACAACTAAAAGCAAATAAAAGCATTTGAAATTAAATAATATCTTTGTTTTATTGAGTTTTGTATGTTACAATTCAGAGCTGATTTTCAGGTACTGCGATCCAATTAAAAAAAAAAAAACATGATTTGCATTCCTCAAAGCCCTGTGCTTTTAATTATTGTAATCACTAAAACCGATGCGATCGAATTTCTAGCGTTTTCATAAAATTAGTTGGGGGGGGGGTAATAAATATTTTTAAAAAAATATTTCTTCCATGACTTTCATAAAAAAAAACATATAATAATTTCGATCATCTGTGAATAGTTTCTGAAAGTTTCATTAACATCCGATAATTATTTCTATTTTTGCACAATTTTTCAAATTAATGTGTCATACCAAAAAAACGTGCTAAAAATAGTCTATGTTATTTACTAGTTCCGCTGATACAAATAGAAAAAAGGTTTTTTTTAATCAAAATTTAGAATGTTCTAAAAAGAAGGAAAATTTTTTAAAAATAATTAAAAAAAACAAACTTTGGTCTTTCCTCTTAATAATAACATAAGCATTTAGACAATAAAATTTAGTTTTCGGCAAGTTTGGCGTCTTTTTCATCAAGCTATGCTCTTTTTTTAGCGATTTCGTGGAGGTACCTACTTTAACTGTTCCCAACAGGAAAAGAAAAAATTACTTACTGTGAGCAAATTTATCAGATTTAAAGTGAGTAAATGATGTTGATATTATGATTTCATCATCATCCTTCAACCTCCCTATGGTTGGTCAGAACTGCATTGACAGTCCCTTTCCACACTGTTCAGTCCTGTATTGCTGTCCACAGATCCCTAATGTCCAGTCTTGAGTCCTGAGCTATGGTGTCTGGGGAAAATCAATTTTTGTGAGAAGACACTTCCAGAAAGATACTAGAGGAGTAAGGATGTGATGACTTCCCTGTCTGCTTGATGGCATTGGCCAGTAACTGTAGTTGTTTTTGCTTTAGCTTAAGAGAGACTGGTCTTGGTTTTCTGTAGATTGTGTTAAGTGTTGCATGGGATATCCAACTAATGTTCTGGATTTTTCTTCGTAGATTTGTATATGCTCCATCCAGTCGTCTTTCAAGACAAACAGATATTGTTCAAGTTTCTGATCTGTACAGTAGGACTGGTTCAACCAATGTTTGAAAAGTTTGGATGTTTAAGGAAGATGGAAGATCTGAGTGCCAAATCTTGTCAAGTTTGTTACACGCATCCCATGCAAGAGCTTTGTGGATGTTGAAGTCTATTTGGGAATCTATGAAGTGAGATCCAAGATATTTGAAGTCCTCAACTCTTTTGATAGATGTATTATTGAGTGATTTCAACTTGGATAGTTCAGGGGAGGTTGTAATGTATTCTGTCTCACTCTTGTTGCAATAGAGACCTACCTAGTTTGCTACTTGCTTGAATAATTGCAGCAAGGATTCTGCATCCTTGATACATTGAGAAAATAATGCAAGATCAAAGTCAGTCAGGTATTGTGGAGGATACTGACTGCTCTGGTGAGGTTTAAAAAGAAGTCCTTTTTCCTCCATGTTGTAGAGAGAAATAAACAGAACATAGTCCAGAACAAGTATAAACAGAAAAGAAGCGTGTCCCCCCTTGTAGAACTCCTGCTTTAACTTCAAAGGAATCCATTTCACCATCAGGTGATATAATGGTAGCAGTGGTGTTTCTGTACAGAGTTCTAATTGCTTCAGCAATTCTGGAGAGTATACCATGGAGTTGGAGAAATTTAAACATGAGATCTCTACCGATGGAATCAAATGCCTTGCAAAAGTCAACAAAATAGATTGTGACCTCTTTGTTGAAGTTTTTCACCTCTTCCAGTATGCAACAAATGGAGAGGATTTGAGCAGTTGCCAGTCTGCCTCGTCTAAATCCATTCTGGTTCTTGCAGAGTAGTGGATCGATGGTAGCGACAATCTTATTTAGCAGAAGCTTATTATAAACTTTTGCTGCAATTGGCATGGGAGTTATACCTCTATAGTTTGCCACACTTGTTAGATCTCCCTTTTTTTGGAATAGACTATTTCACTCTTCAGCCAAGTTGAAGGCAGTGAATGATGTATGAATGTGTGGTTGCAAAGCTCTAGGAAAAGGTCATGAAATGTTGGATCTTTCCACAATAATGTTGGTATGTTGTCAAGATCTGGAGATTTGTTGGCAAAATCTTTGAGTGTTATTCTGAGTTCATTGAGCATGAATGTGTTGGTGTTTATGTTCAAAGTATTGGATATTTGATGTAGAGGGAGTGGAAAACCACTGACTTGCAGTGGTTCTTCCAGGAGTTTCTTAAAATGGTCAAACCAGCTGGCTTTATGCTTTTCAGCAGAACTGCCTTTGAGCCAAATGAAAGGCTTTGATTTACTTCCTGAGATGTTTATTGTTTTCTATGCTGCAGTCTTATAATTTTATCAATCTCCCCTTGGATATACTCTGTGTCTACAATTGGCATGGGTCTCATCTAATATCTCTTGTGCTTTAGTGATGTCTTTAAAAGTATTTCTAATTAACTTTTCACTCTTCTTGCCTTTCTCACATGGACATCTGTACTGATGTGAGTGTGCTGTAACTTTCTGTCTGACAGTTTTGAGAGTGAGTGCGACTTCTTCTGTAGATGATATAAGGTTGTTGTATTGTGTTTCAATGTTATCAGACTGATCAGAGAGCATTTTATAACGATTCTTAACATTTACAGCAAAGGAATGTCTCTTAGTTTTTGTTGTCTAACATTATATTGAATATTAATTTACTGGTTGAAATACACAATTTATAAAATTATCTTATCAGGTTTAATAAAAATCTGTAATTAGAACTTTATATTTATCATTTCTAATTGTTTAAAAGAGGTCTCAAGGTAAATGTACAGAGACATGTCAAAAGTAGATCAAATTTGGAAACTAAGGATAATCGACAAACTACAGTTTTAGATGAACATTGTTTATTTAATGAATGTATCCATTAATATTTAGTGGACCTTCCTTTAGCATCCTTGAGTGTCTTTACTCTGTCAGGTATAGAAGTGGCAATCTCTGCAATTCTTGACTGGGGATTTTCTGACAATGTGAAATGCAGAAGTTGAAGCAATTTGTCAAAGGAAGTGGTTCTGTCTCATAAGGCCCAGATATGTTCAATAGGGTGCATGTCTGGTGACTGACATAGAACTTGAAGCCCATTTTGCTCCATCCATGCTCAGGTCACTATTGTATTGTAGCTCAGCATAATGCTATCTTTATTGGCTATCTGATAACTGGAAAAGATAGAAGTATCAAAATATATTTTGCCGCATTAATGTTGCCATTGCATTCTACCAAGGCTGAGTGACCATTGCTCCAAATTTCTTCTCCAGACCATAAACAGAAACCTGCCATATTTGACAGTTGGTTGCAGTCAGTTCTTGTAAATCTCTAAACCCAGATATGTCCACTGGCAGAGAATCAAGCAAAAGATGGTTTGTCCAAGATTACACCTTGCCAAAAGCTTGGACTCTCTTTGGACATGCTTTAAGTCATTCCAGAGGTCTCAAACCTGTGGCCTATTGTGAACCATTACGTAACCAATATTTTCCTCAAATTTTAATTTTAAGAAATTTCTCCCTCACCCTATTTGCTACTTTTGCAGTAGCATTATTGAGCTTGACCGACCGACTGACCGACCTTCATTATAGGTAAAAAAATTTTTTACAAACCTAACAGTTGATTCTCTTTGTGTTTGGTGGGTTTTAAAAGGAATTATGAACTGTAGAACCTAGATAAAATACTACTGCACTGTTACCATTAATAATGGGTTCATTTGAATGATGCATTAGAAGAAAGGTGTCTTTTTTTTTTTTTCTTTTTTTTTTTTTTAAAGGGTATTCAGCTGGTGATTATGCTGTATAGCAATACCTGTCTTATTGGATGTGTGGTATATTCTTCAGACTATTAGTGATTCAGGTATTCCAAATTTAAGCTGCTATAAAATTTCTCAATTCATTGTGTCAAAACTTGAATTTTTTGTGGAATACGCAATTTCACTGAAATGCTTAAGCTAGAGGATAGTACTTTGATGATAGAATAATGATTCTGTGAATTTATATGAATAAAAGATTTTGTGAAAACAATGTTGGAATCTTTTATCACATTTGTAGCATAGTAGAGCTTAAAATGAGTTTTGAATAACCTTGATAGATGTTATTTATTGTAATGAATATTTGTGATTAATACTTCAAATGACTTCTAACTTGTGTGTAAGTATAAGAAATTTTTGTAATTTTATATTTTATTACAATGAATTATAAATTGAAACTATGTTTTCTGGAGCAAATTTTAAAATTAAGAAAAAGGGAGTTGTGTGAGCATTGGAGAGAAAACAAATGATACTTCAATTATTTTTATTATGGTTTAATTATAGCCTCAGTCGGAGCGGCGGAGTCGAAGAACAGCTTCAAGAAAAAAATATGAAGAATCTGATGATGAGGTAAATGTTAAAAGAATAATAACCCAATTAATTATTTCATTAAAAAGATCATATCTTTTAAATTTTAATCCTTTTGTAGGAGATAAAATCTAGCAAGTGTTTTGATAAAAATTAATCTTTAAAAATCATCAAATTTGATTTATCCATTTTATTATTTGTATATACTTTCTAACGCTTTCACCCCAGCTCTTTAACCTCCGACGTCTTACTCTCTGGGTTGAGGTGTCTACTTGGCTCTAACGAACTTAAGGGAGTAGCCGTAAGTCCCCTGAGTATCCGTAGATTATTTGACTGGTCCACTGGTTTAATCCTGCTTCCTGCCCATATTGTGTTTGGTTTGATCCAGAAAGCAGAAGTGATGTTCATCCATTCATGGTCGACTGAAGATGTAGACACGGCTGAAGAGCCTGCACTAAGAAATTTAGAATGCAGCAAAAAAAAAAAAATTAATATCTGCAGAAAGCCGGACAAACAACTATTCAATGATTGAATTGTTAATGTCTTTTATATAGCAGAAAAGAATAGTATAGAAAAGAAACGGGTTACAGAAAAGAAAAGTAATTGTCGTAGAAATGCATGCACTGACAGAGTGTTATGATTAACTTGTTGTTAAATCGTCTCAGAACAATATACAACTCTTGCGATGGGGGAATAAGATTTCTGTGCATGGCTTAAAGTTTATTTATGGCATTCCTCCTTAGCAGTAGTAACAGTAATAGTAATATTCACGGTAGCAGAATCAGCGGTACATGATATCAACAGTACATGTTAGCAGACGTTTCGTTCCAATCTCTGACATCACGTTCTCTCCTTCTTGAGTCTCCAACTCTACTCTCCACTGTCTCTAGCCCAACTCTTGCCCGGGCTAATTCTCTTCTGCCTCTCCCTTCCGCCTGTCTTTCCCTTCCGTCTGTCTCTTTTTCAGCATAACTACGCGTTTATACAGAAAAATCCGGCTAGTTACAACTGAACCTTGGCCCTACTCCTTCACACATGATTATCATGGGGTTCTGGCTGCTTTAACCAAAATCATGTGAATTCTAAAGTTCCTTCTAGCTTACTCAGCTCTATTTCAGTTTTTAATCGATAAAAATTATTTGTGTGTGTGTTTCCCAAACTCTCTCTATCACAACCATACATGGACAATTTTTTGAAAAAGTACCTTTGTGTTTGTTATAATTTCATTCATATTTAAAATTTATTATTGCATGTCTGTTTTAGAAAAGAGCCAGTGATGATGATGATGTTGATGATTCTGCAGAATCAGGGATTGAGCATGAAAGTAATTGTGTTGTATGTGATGGTGAAGATGACTTGATAGAGTGTTCACAATGTCCCGATGTATATCACCTTGAGTGTCATGATCCTCCTTTACGGCATCCTCCAAGGTAAGTAACTTAATCTTTAGGTCAGTGAATGAAATGCTCGTTTGTATTTGAAATGAGATCTTTTATCTTGATTTCTGGGATATTTGATTAATATACAAGAGTTGTGAATGGCAACATTTTTTTTCTCGGGTAAGTAAAAGAAATGGCTGCAGTTTAGATTTTGTTGAAACATAGAAGTGAGAAATTCACATTTAGCCAGAAGTAATAAATAGGTGTTTTATCTGAAATTTTATCTGAGCAAAAATATTTCATGGTGGGTGGTCATCAGTTTTGATCTATAAAGTATTATATTGGATTAATAAATCTGTTACTTGAAATATAATTATTTTCATCTGAAGATTTTACTGTATCTGTGATTAATATTTGTGTAAAATAAATTATTTTTTAAATCAACATTAGGCTATAGTAATATATGCACAAACATTTTTGAATTTATATAAATATTGAATATGTGAATGTTTTTATTTGTAGAGGCAAATGGATTTGTATATCTTGTAAAACTGGCAGAAGAAGGCCAAGATCAAGACGAGCCTGTAACAAAAAGAAAAGTATCCAAACTTGTAAGTGTGTGTGTGTGTATATATATATATATATATATCGCGCTGTTTTTCTTGTCAGAATCTAGCTTACAAATTTACAAATATACAGTTCATCCAAGCTTTGAATATTGCTGTCACAAAGATTCTTAATAAAAACAAAGAAGAATCTGCTATGTTCAACAAGATCCAGGAAAGGAGGTAAGGAAAAATTCAAGTCAAGAAGAAAGTTGATCAGAATTATTAGGTAAATGAGTAGGGAATTCCACTGGGAAAGAAAAATAAGTCTGAATACTCACAACATCAGTATCATTAGGATGATTAAACCACTTGATATAATGAACATTAAAATCACCAAACACTAAAATGTTCAGATTAATGAATATATATATATATATATATATATATATATATATATATATAATAGAGAGTGAGAGCACCAGCGCCAGAAATTTCTATGCTGTTAAATCCAACATCCATCCATTTCTATACTGTTGGATATATTTAATATATTACCGCCCTGAGAAGAGAGGGGGTAGGGAGATAGCTAACAAGGTAGAAAGCACATGAAAGAATCCTCTGAGGTGATTCCCTTATCATTGGAAGATTTTTCTCAATGTAAACACCAAGGTCATGTATATGTAACCTAAAATTTTTTTCAACAAAGATAAAGAAAGCGTTGCAACTTGCTATCTGAGTAGGTTGTTGTTTTTTTTTTTTTTTATTACTGGTTTTTGTGTGGCGTGGATAGAAAAATGCCAATACAGTAGCCAGAAAATGAATAGTTGCAGCCATTGATCATTAAGGCCATTGGAGAAAGGAACCAGTAAACTACATCCTAACCAGGAAGCAAGGGAAAAACCTCTATTCCTGTTCAATAAATATAGAAATACAGACAGGCTGGTTGTTGTTTTTTTTTTTTTTCCCCTTGTATATATAATTTTGAAAGAATATCATTGGCAGTAATCTGGTGGAAATATTATTACATGTGGAAGTCTTGGTTACAGAAGGGTTAGGTAATCATAATTCTATTGACCTGCTTATCATATTTTAGCATTCAGTAACAAGTCCTATATAGAACTAAGGCTGTAAAACTTTTTAAAATATTATTCTTGCATTTAAAAATAAAATATATTTGTCCCCTTTTAGAGCATAAATTTACATTTTATTAGCCGTGTCAATTGTATGATTACATTTTGTTTATTATAATCAGTTAATGCTTCGGATGTATTTTGATGTATCATAAAGTTGAATTTTTTTTTCCCTTTTCATTATCATTCCCCTGCAGGCAAAAAAGCTGTCAAAGAATCAGAGGAAGAGTCAGAGGATGAAGACGAGGAAGAATCAGATGATGAAGAAGTTGATGATGAAGATGATGATGATGAAGATGATGATGATGATGAAGATGATGATGATGAAGATGAGGAGGTTGATGATGATGAAGACGATGATGATGATGATGATGAAGAAGAAGAAATTGAAGACATTCCTAAAAAACTTCAATCTACAAGAAAGACCCGGCAAAAAAAAAATGGTAATTTTATAAGCTTTCATAGATCTCCTCAAAAAATGTAAACAAAATTTAAAGTACATGATATTAAATGTATGATTTGGTAAGACAATAATTGCTAAAAGCATATTGATCTGTTATCATTTTGGCTGTTGTTCAGTTATATTGAAGATTATATTATTTATTTCAAAGAAATATTTGTTACTTTAAACAATAAGAACTACTTAAGACTGCAAAAATTTAATCCTGTTTCAGAATACTTATAAAGAATTCATATATGAAATCTTAATAATCTTTATATTTTGTGATAGTGATCTTTGCTTTTAAGAATATTTAAATATTTTCTTTTTTAAAGTTGTTTTTAATTAATTTATTTTATTTTTTCTGCTATGTTTCTATTTTCCAGGTAGTTCTTACTTGTGAGGTTATTTGGATTTAGCATCCTGTTAATTTGAGAAAAAAATGAAATTTTAACTCACTCTTTTTAACCTAAAAATAAAATACTTATAATATTCAAATAAGCCTGAAGACTTCTGAATGTGTATATATTCCCCACAATTTTTTTTTTTACTCTTCAACCTATGAAATAAAAAAATGTAATTGATATTGTTTCATTAAAGAATAAAGAGAGAAAAAAATTAAAAGCCACAAGAACTTAACCCCACCCCCTTAACTTACAAAGAGGTCTCCATTCATTTTAGTGAAAACAACAAAGTCTAAAGCAGACAATGAAGAAGGATCTCAAGAACAGGAAATAGAGGAGGAAGATGAAGAGGAAGATGTTTCCAACTCAGATGAAGAATATGTATCTGCTGTGGCTGCCCAGTGTCAAGAGGAGTGCAAAGCCAGTGTTTCTACACAAACATCCTTTACTGAGGGTGCAGTTGACAACTCCTCTAGTCAGACAGGAACACAAACTGCCACCATGGAATGTTATCCTTCCCAGAGGCAACAGCAGAACATGGAATTGTCTGTAAGTTCAGCTTTCTGCTAATGCTGGCTTATCAGTAGACGACTGTACCTGTCTGTATGTTTGCCCAATACAGTCCCCTTTCTCCCACTTGAAATGGCAAGCAACAGGAGAAATGTATATTTTGCACAAATGTAGATAATTGGAAAACTATCAAAGCTGGACAAATATTGCCCACAAAACACTAAGTTAACACATATACCTGTAATAAAAATATTGTAGAAAATTCAATAAATAAGCCTTGCTAATGATTATCAGTAGATACACACATTCAAACTCTCACTTGTTAAAGATGTAACTGTAAATTCAATTCTATATTGTTTTATCATTTCCAATGTACCATCAAGACTTAGTTCTAGTTAAAAAAAAAAAAGAAAAAAGTTGTAAAAATGAAAAATTCTGTTTTATCTTTCTTAATTCACATTCAAAAAATTAATATTTGGTTTAGTTTAATTACCATTATTTAAATTATACTAAGTAATATTTCATAGCTTAATATATCTAAAAATTATAAATATTTTAAATATACGTGTTGTTAATCATTAAGCTATGTTTTACCAATTTATAAAATTTCAAGCTGATTTCTTCCCAAAGTAAATTTCTTTTAAACTCATTTTAAGATAATCTAATACCAAAGACAGATTGCAACCAAAGATTTTAAGTGAAATTTCTTAATATGCTAAAACAAAGTGACTTAATTAAAATATTTTTTTTTATTTATTTAAATTTTTAGTAGTTAAAATGTTAGTGTCACTGCATTCAAACTGTTTCACATTTTTATTGAGCTAATGTGATTTCTTTTTTTTATTTCATGTCATTATTAATTCCCTATCCTCAATTTTGGGTGGGTTATCTGTATGTGTGCATATTTATATGTAAATGTACTTAACTATCACAGTGTCACATTTGAAACTAACTTAACAGTAGTCTTGATAAAATGCATTACTTATTGACTACTCTTTGTTTTCTTGAAGATTTTACTTTGCAAATGCTTCTTTGCTTTTTAAAGTTTATTTATATTTGATCTGTAGTTGATTACTATCTGATAAAATTTAAATTATTTTTTTTATATTTTATTGAGACTAAAACCACATACTCTTGTTTTTATTGATAGTGTATATATTGTTTTCAATTAACTCTTGCTTTATAAAATTATTGTTTAGCTTTCATTGTCATTAGTCATAGTTTAAAAAAAAAGTCAGTCCCATTTTCCCTAAAGAAAAAGCCTTCAATGTTTGCAATAAAAGTGAAAATACATATCTAGAAAATGTTATTAAAAAAATATTTTTTATAAAATTATGATTTGTGGATGCTTTGATAAATTTTGAGCAATGATCTGTTTCTGTTGCCTCTTAAAATTTAAGATTACTTTTTCTATGAAAATCTAACAAGAGTAAAAGGAGTTACATTTGATGAAATTTCCACTTTATAGCACCCAAATAAATAAAATTTTGATTTAATGTTTTCTTGGTTAAATAGTATATAATAAAATTCATATGAACATGATTTTTAATTGAGAAAATTTAAGCTGCTGTTATTGGCAAGTGAAATTTGAACTCGAAACTAAACCATATTATTTTGGACTAGAATTTTTTTATTCCATAGTATTTTAGTCACTCTAGTACCTTAATTGGTGTTTATTTAGCTTTGCCTATTTCTACAAATGGTAAATAAATTTGTCTTGAAATAATAAAAAAATTGTTTTTCTATAACATTCATCTCCAACTCAGTAATTATTTGAGAGATTAAAATTAACCTTTCCAAATATTTTTTGATTTTGAGTTTTTATCCTAGATAATGTATTAACAAAGACATTTTTGTTTTTGCGACATGGTGCTTACCTTATTTTGCATTATCAAAATTTTTGTTAAAGCATAAATTTACTAATTTTAAAAATACAATTCTCATTGATCAAGCCACTTATTTTAAATTGCTTCTTACTAGTTCATTAGATATTTTTCTGCAATAAAATAACATAATTTAGGATTTTTATATGTGTAATATTGTATCCTTAAGTCTTCCTTGGGTAATCTTTTGTATTAGAGGTTTTCTTAAGATAACCTAACAAATTGGTGAGTTTGTCTTACCCTTTGGTAGTTTGATTTCAATCCATAAGCAAGAGAATATCTGAGTACAGTAGGTCAGTAGAGAAGTTCTACCATAAAAATTGATTGATAACTACAAATTTAAACATTCCTAGGAAGGTTCTTGAGCATAACCAGATAATTTAGGTTAAGTTTAATATACTCAGTTGGATGAAATAAAAAGATTTTTTTTAATTCTTTGAAAGTTACTAAGTGTGACAGCAATTAACAAAGGCTGGAAGTAAACAGCATTTTGATAAAACATTGAAGATAGTTTTAAAAAAGTTAAGGGTTTTTAATCAAGCATTTTCTAATATTATCTACTATCAAAATTTAATCATTAGTTCTGATCTGTTACAGTTAATTCTTTCTTTCTTTTCTTTTCTTTTTGTTTAGACAATTACATTTCTCATACTATTTTGTGAAAACATTGGTAATGATTTTGATCAAGTGTCAATATTTACTGTTGTATATTATTGGTAATTTTTAATGCAAGGCATCATTATAAATAAAATATACAGGAATAAAATATTTCAGCACTGAAACTTCATCTGAAGTTGGAAGCACCGCTACATATATATTTCAGAAATATGTGTGATATATGATTGATAATATTTGAGTTATTTCACTGTTTTTGGTGAATATGGACATTGTGGCTTTTAACTTTAAATGTAATTTCATAAGCTTTAATTCTGATTAGTATTTCAACTTTGGTGGTGGCATGAGAGTATTCATTAGATTTTGTTAATTGCCCACTCTCATTATTTAATGCTTGTTACATGAAAGGCTTTGTTAATCCATCCAGTCCAGTTTTCCAGATATGTAATCTCTTGGTCTTTAATGAATTTTTGTAAATAAAGACATACTCTATTTTGTATCTAAACACTTTATGTAATCTATTATTTGAAAGTAAAATAGATTGGACCCAATGTTATTGTTTTTTCTTTTTTTTTTTTTGTTTGTTGTTGTTGTTGTTGTACTAGACAAATAGTGACTTTTGAATGTGTAATAAAGATTTGATTTGAACCTTTCAGAAAGCATTCCTAAACTAGTTGTTTCAGTTTTCTTTTATTCTAGTATTATTTAACCCATAATATTTAAAATTTGGCCAATAATTTAAGATTTTATTAGACATATCAGTATCTATTGTAATATTAGGCAAAAATAAATATTTTTCTCTATGTATAAAGAAATCACTTCTATGTAATTTTCTTTATTTCATTTCACTTTCATTGCAATATTAAAAAGGCTTTCAAAAGTGTGCAAACTTCCAACATTTTTTTAACCTGAGAATTTTTATTTTATATGTAAGTCAAATACATATCCTTGGACTTGAGATGAGTTTTAAAATTTGCAAGTACTGACATTTATGTTCAATTTTGCAAGAAAGTAACATTTATTTTTATGTTGAATATTAGTGTTTAAGGTTATAACTTGGTTTTGATTCTTTCTAATTCATAAATCAATTGATATCCTAGTTGTAAATATTATCTATAGAAAGTTATTATAATTGATTTAAATATATTTTGTAACCTTGTAAGTATTCTTTCATAGTGTATTTAGAAAGTTTTGGGTAGGGTTAACCAAAAAGGGCTGTAATTCTAACTGTTGTATTACTTAGACTGCAATTCAGTTAGTGTTCAAGGAATTGATGGCACATATGCAAGTAATATAAATTCTATGTTACTGCTTCATCTGTTAACAGATAGTCTTATCAGATAAGTTAAAATATTTGATACTATTTTCATTTAAGATATGGACTACTTTTCCAAGTATGCAGTATTGTTTACTTTTTGGAATTTCAAATTAGTCACTTTTTTAACTCAAACCTTGCATTACAAATGCATACATACACATTTAATGCATACTTGCTCTTGGAGAACTATCTAATTTGATGCAAAAGTGTTAGTAAAATGCAAAGAAATTATGTTGCCTTAATCCTTTAATTTAAGAGACGATACAAATGTATTTTAAGTTCATTTTCCAATTTGGCAGGATATTTTTTAAAAACATTTGAAATGCAATCCTATATTTTATAGTTGATTTGTTAAAAATTTTGAAATTTGAAAATTAAACAGTTTAAAATAATAGTAGATACTATGTTCAGTAAAAATTAATTTAACCCTCTTTTGATCTTCATTATAAATTTAAACAAATCTTTTTATTCTAAATGTTTTTTCTTAAAAACATGGATCAATTGTTTTAAGCAAAATATTGTAAAATATATATTTTTATATATACAAAAGAATTACTTTATCAATATATAAATTAAGATATATTTTTTATTGTATAGAAAACAGTTGTTCATTGAAATGCTAACTTAAAATTTATAAAAAGAATTGCAACAACTATTTTAGGATAGAGATTTTTTTGTACAATGTAAAAGATAAGTTTGTAAAGATTAAAAATATTAGCATTATACAATTAAAAACAAACTGAATATTTTTTCTTTTTATACAAGTAAAGAAATGATTCAAATTTAAGCGACTAATATCCTAGCGGCTTGAATTTTCAAAATTCTATGTTGGGAATTGTGCTTTGCATGTTCCATTATGTAGGCTAAGCAGTTATTTACATTAAACATAATTTATTTAAATGAATAATTGGTTGGTCCTTTCTCAATTTCATAGAAAAAGCAGTCAATTCAATTCTATATGTATAATTTATGCAGGTACTTAAAGACTAAGAATTCCTTTAAAAGAAAAAAAAATCTGGTCAGACTTTTTAAAGTGAATTTGAGTCAAGAATTTTGCCAGCAACCCTTCACATTCTCACACACACACAGGTTTGTGTCACACTTCCTGTCTATGGAACTCCCTTTCTCTTGCTTCCTTGACAGTTATAGTCTTCAAATATTCAAATGGAATATCAATTGACATGTTCTAATGCCTTGATCTAATTTCCTGTCCTCTATCCTTTCCTCAATCACATCTCTTACTCCCACTTTCTGTAACCCTATGTGCTAGTGGTACTCCTGCCTTACTTGGGGTGAAATGCTTAATAATTTTTTTTATTTATCTACACACATTTTTCAGTGCACAGATACTATACTTAGAGAGAGGGTAGGAGAATAAAACTAATCCTTGGAAGAGCATATACATACTCTGACCCCAAGTAGTAATGCTGGGCTATATATAAATTGTTACTTGCTAAATAATCATATATTTTTGTTATATTGTTTAAGTTAAAATATCAGTTGAAATATTAATATAATTTTTTTTTTTTTTTTTTTTTTAAGAATCTTTATGAAACTTTCCATTTTTGATAATTTTGTAATATTAAGGTGCTAAATTTGCTTTGTTTGTTTCAGATTTGTGAAGCCATTCTTATTAGACTAATCATGAACAAGGCAAGTTGGCCTTTCAGACTTCCTGTTGATGAAAAGGAGGTTTGTCAATTTTTACACTTTTTTTAAAAATAAACTTCACTTTATAAACTTGGTTCATTAAATTAACTGATGAATTTTAATATTGCATTATCATCATACTTTTACATAATGTATTTGATTTTCAAAGGTAGATTGCCTATATCTTTAATTAGATTAAGTGCTTTAGTTATACAGGGTGTTTCAAAAAGAATACGCCAAAATCATCACGTGATATGTCAAAAACGAATCAAATTACAAACTCTAGCATGAACACGTTATATATACATTCAAGTTTTATTTCATGTTTTATAAGTGCTCAATGTGGCCACCACCGGCAGTGCGGACAACATCAAGCCGATATGAGAATTCCTCCCAAACGCGTCTCAGCATGTCACGGTCCACCGTGTTGATTGCATTGATCTTTCAAGCCATCGATACTTGCTGGAAGTGCTGGAACATAAACTTGGTCTTTAACATACCCCCACAAGAAAAAGTCACACACAGTGAGGTCCGGGGATCTGGCAGGCCAAGCACAGAGAGCAAGGTCTTTAGCACCTCTCCTCCCAATCCATTGGTGAGGCACGTTTTCATTCAGATAAGCTCTAACCCCGAGATGCCAATTGGGGTGGTGCTCCATCTTGCTGAAAAATGAAGTCATTCGAATTTGCTTGCAGTAAAGTGAATAGCCATTTTTGGAGCATTTCGAGATTGGTTTGTACTGTTTGTAGCTGCACCGGAAGTTATACTAAAGACAGCGGTGAAACTGACACCCAATCAAACTTTGATATCTACTCTATCAAATAACCACTGATTCAGTCCACTACAATGCTATAGACCTGAAAAAACAGTGTAATGATTTTGGCGTATTCTTTTTGAAACACCCTGTATATTAAGGGTAATAACTGTCTAGATTTTTTTCAATATTAAGAATAAACAATGCAAAATGGTACATTTAATGAAAATAACATAAAAAAATGCTAGGTAAGTATGCTGTCTGAAATGAAAATAAAATGAAATACCAGTACTTTGCTGATGGCACTTATAAGCTTGCTTGTCCTTTTATTTATTTATGTTCTGTTAATATTTCCACTGTGTATATATATATATATATATATATATATATATATATATATATATATATATATATATATATATATATATATATATAGTAACTGTTTAAAGCTTTTGATTAATTCCCAGTAATTGAAAGCTGAGATTCAAATATTGAACATGAGAATCAATGTAAGATTAAATTCTAAAATATTCAGCTGAAATATACTTTTTCATAACATTTTGGAAAGATATTCTCTTTCTTTTATTATACAGGCTCCAGATTATTATGAACTGATCATAAATCCTATTGACCTCAGAACCATCAAACACAAAATTGTTGATTGTGAATATAAATACACAGAACATTTTATTGAAGATATTTCATTGATGTTTCGAAACTGTGCCAGTTATAATTCAGTAAGTCAACTAATTGTTTTTTATTTGATAAGACTTGGAAATCATACATACCTCTGTTATATCATAATTTGTAAAAACAAAAATAAGTTAAGGATATTAGTCTAAAGTGAATTTATTTACTAGTTTCTTCAAAAAATGAATATATTTGATATTAACATGGCATATTCATAATTAGTATTTTTGGTTAATTTATAGTGAAAATTGATGAGAAACATTTCATTATTGAATAGATTTATACAATTTAGAAAGATCTCACAAGTGTGAAATGGCTACTGCTTTTCTCTTGGTCTGAAATTAATTTTTTTCTTAGTATTTGTAGTAACTTATCTAATTTAGACTCAAGGACAGAACCTCAAATATATTTTTGTTCATCTTTTTTTTTTTTTTTTTTATCATCTTGACAAAGATGTAAAGATACATGAACCTTAAGAATTCATCAACCTGTTTGAGTTTTCATTGAGTGAGAAACTCAATGAAAACTCTATCCCACTGGTTGATTTGTTTGCTTTCTAACATTTTTTTCTTTTACTACTATTACATTTGTAAAGGTATTTCTTTGTATAACTATGCAATATATTTGAACTGTTTATATACACTGATAGCAAAAGTTAGTTTTGCATGTTATAAAGAATCAGGTCTTTGAATTGAAATTCAGTTATTTTAATATAAACCTCTTATATTTTCATTTTATAAAATGTCTTAATTTTTAGTTATATTTTTGGTTCCTTGTACCATAGTGATATTAATTATTGGCTTAGCAACTATTAGGTTGAGTCATAAGTAATTTTCATTTTTGGGAATGAATTGTAATGAATATATAATCCTAACTACTAATTTTACCTAGTAGTTAGGAATAAATGTTTTGTTGCACACAACAAGAATAACACAAGAAACATTTTTGTACCTAGTTGTTCTATTTATCCTACCTGCCATTTTCACCTGACTTTACACCAACTGATTATTACCTTTTTTAATTACAGCAAAATAATTTTAAGGGGGAAAATTTCTCCAATGAAAACCCAGTTCAAAGACTTCAAAACCTGCATAATTTTACTCCAAAACTATTGAAGAACTGTTTGATAAGTGGCAACAAATCAGTACAAATTATATAAGTGAATAAGATGTAATTGCACTTTGTTTTGAAGAATAAAGTTGATTTTTTTTTTTTTTTTTTTTTTTTTTTTAAGGGAAATTATGCCTCAACTTAATATTGCACCGTTTTGAAATTCATTTTGCTTACTTCTAGATTAGATTAAGGTTATCAATCTATTTTGTTCCTTGTAATGAAGTTTGACTTCAAGATAAGTTACCAATTTTAGTTTTCAAAATTATTAGTACATTTTAAGTGCTTTGAAAATAATTTATTTGCTTTTATAACGGATTTAAAAATATTATTAATCAGATTTGTATCCATTTATAACAAAGCACTTTTTGCTTTTGCTTTAAATTGCAGGTGGACAGTGAAGTATACCGATGTATGCTGGTCTTGGAAAAACAATTTACCAATCTCCTTTCCAAATTTTTGCCTCAGTATCATTACAGTCGCAAGATATCTAATGGCTACAGTGGCCAAGCTTACACTTGTTATGGTACAAGAAAACGAGGTCATTGTATGTGAGCTTGATTTATATTAAGGCTTTGTTTACACCTAAGTTTTAGGGGGAGAGAGAGAGAGTAGCTTCAATATTCTCATTAATTACACATTTTGAGTGTATTTAAAAAATATGGAAACCTCTTTGAAAAAAGGAAAAATACCAGACTAATCCATTTCAGTTGTTTGTGTGAAAGTTTTATTCCACACTGAACAAAACCCCAAGAATTTTGCTCAATATGAACTCCAAGAATCAATCTGTGGATGATATTTAGCAAGAGTGAGCACTTGACACAATCTCTGATTACAGATGAAGGCTAATAACAGTGGAAATTTACAACTTAATTTACAACTTGCATATTTCATATGTATAGTGTGTGCATATAATAAATATATATATATATATATACACACACAATAATTTTCTTTGTTTCAATGAAATACAAAATTCTGATAATTTCTTAATTACCACCAGTAAGTAAATGAACTGGATATAAAAACAATTGAGCTTTTCACATTACAGAAACTTCCCATTGACTGTAAAGCATCTTCCAAGTAATCCACCCTGCCCCTGGTGTGTCCCTGCCCACCATCAATCTGGGTTACATGCCAATCCTTCAGGCAGCATAGCAGTTATGTACATCTAAGGTGATATGTTATATATCATTTAAAATGAAATTATATCATTACCCCTTTCCCTCACCTCCCATACTCTCACCATTAATCCATCCAGTACAATACAGTTTCTTAGTGTCACTTGTACAGTTACTACTCATGTCATAGCTCCTGTGGAGGTAGCATCCATGGGTAGCATTTGCATTCAGTTTTTATTTTGCAGCCTAAATATTTTTTGTCTTGCTATTTTGTCCATATTTGATTGTTAACTGCTGTCTGCCTAACGTCTATAAATCATTATGAATGAATAAATAAATATTTAGTTATCAGTTCACTGTTTCTTGTCTTGCATATTTTTGTGCTAAAATTGTATCTTTTATTCATCAATAAATGTTTTGGAATTTTCTGTCTGCAGAATCTTGTGGTCATGCTATTCTCTCCTCCTTTTTATCAGAATTTAAATCCTCAAAGAATGTTTCATATATCAGTCACTATTGTCCTTTACTGTGTGTTCCATATGTATGGCCTTAGTTATGTACCTAGGTTCATGTTTGTGATCTTGGGAGTCATGAATAGCAAAGACCATTTTATACTATCTCACTTCTTTCTGCAGGGCCTCAGGGTCAATGGCACCATCTACATCAAGGTGCTAGATAGGGTGGTCACACCCTGGTTCAATAGTGGACATCAATGTTCCATCAGGATTGCTCTGTTAGATGGACTAAGAATTTTATTATCATAGCATCATCAACATCTGGGGTGTTGTCAAGGAGGAAACCAGTCATATTAATTGGGACTTGAAATCTGCCAGTGTGGACATAACGGCAAACATGAAGGAAAATCACCTGGAGCAGTAAAATATATTAGGGACCTTCATGAGATTGCTAAAAAAGAGCATAGCATGATGAAAAAGACACCAAACTTGACGAAAACAAAATTTTATCGTCTAAATGTTTGTTATTATTAAGAGGAAAGATCAAAGTATTCCGGGGGTATTTTTTTTACATTTTTTAATTGTTCCTAGCATGTCCGAAATTTTCATTAAAAATTTTTTTTTTTTTCTTGTTTTGTTTTTTTTTGTTTTGTTTTGTTTTTTTTTTTGTTTTTTTTTTTTAGTCAGCAAAATTGACAGATAATCAATCATGTGACTCATTTTTTTTCCATTTTATAAAATAAATGAAAATCTCAGTTTCAAATTCTTTTAAAAATCAATTATAATTTTTTCAAAACTTATTTTAAGAAAATTAGAAATTATAATATTTACTTAAAATATTTTGAAACAAGCATTACTTAGTTTCTGCGCCGAAAAGTAGTTTAAAAATAAAATAAAGCAGGTCATAACATTTCAGGTAATGATTGATGATTTCATCGCGTTTTGACAGCTTATGGTGGAAAAATTTATCATACGGGAAGACAAAAGTGATATTTAGAAGTTATTTTATTTTTAGTGAACAAATTAATTATTTTTAAGGAAAACTTTCAGCGCTCTAATTTTTTTTTTTGTACTTAGCTTTCACCTTTACGTTTACAATACTTTATGGAAAATATATTATAAAAAAATTAAAATACTGTTGAGAGTGAGATTAAATTTCGTAAGAAAGGTACCTATAAATTAATTAGATACCTTTCTTATGAAATTTTATCAGAAGTGTACATAAAAATACTATAATTTTATGTACATTTATTACATTTTATTGTTTTATTTGTATTTCCATTCATTTTATTAATTTTGATATTTCATTTATGGAAAAATGTCATAACTGAAATTAATATAAAAATAAGATCATATAAATTTCTTAAGATGATACTAATACTTTTAGGCACCCTTCTCAGTTGAAATTGAAAAATCAAATTAACTTCTCTACACGTGTTTCGCAAAATAAAGGCCTTAACAGCAGAGAACAATGCTTAACTCAAATAATGAAACTTAACTGTGTTCTTGCTGGTCTTCCATACTTTATAATTATAGCTGTATTATAAACACAAAATTACATTTCTTAATTACTGCGGGTCTTCTGATTGGTCCAAATTGTACAATTTATGAAGCGCTAAAAAATGATCTATCTCATATATGGATATTTATGAAACTGAATGTGGCTTTTAACTAATTTTTATAATATTTTAACAACTTAAATGTAAAAATCTATTATAATTAAAGAAATAAGAAATAATTGTATTAAAAATTCATTTTTCATCGAAAAAATATTTTGCTTTCAGAAAATATTGTCCATATTCATAAAAACAACTAAAAGCAAATAAAAGCATTTGAAATTAAATGATATCTTTGTTTTATTGAGTTTTTTATGTTACAATTCAGAGCTGATTTTTAGATGGAGGGGGTCTAATTTAAAAAAAATAAACATGATTTGCTTTCCTCAAAGCCTTGCGCTTTTAACTAATATAATCATTAAACTGAATGCGACTGAATTTCTAGAGTTTTCATAAAATTAGTTTGGGTGGGGGGTAATATAATAAAAAAAATTTCTTCCATGATTTTAAAAATGAAAACATAATAATTTCCATCATTTGTGAATAGTTTCTGAAAGTTTCATTAACATCCGACAATTATTTTTATTTTTGCAAGATTTTCCGAATTAATGTGTGTCATACAAAAAAATCGTGCTAAAAATTTGTTATTTTACTAGGTCCAGTGATACAAAGAGAAACGTTTTTTTTTTTAATCAAAATTTAGAATGTTCTAAAAAGAAAAAATTTAAAAAAATAATTAAGAAATACTTCAGTCTTTCCTCTTAATAATAACATAAACATTTAGACGATAAAATTTTGTTTTTGTCAAGTTTGGTGTCCTTTTCATCAGACTATGCTTTTTTTTTTTTTTTTTTTTAGAAATCTCATGAAGGTACCTATATGTTTGTGTGTGTGTAAAGGTATTGGTCCAATCAAGAAGGATTATTCAAATATGTTTGGTTAGATTTAGGGAAGTGGAGTGGGTTAGTTCAAAATATGGCACTCATATAATTCTAGTAGCTATTTCTTTGTGTCTATCAAATTGCATTAACCATTCTCATGGCAAATTCTTTGTCCCAATTGTGTACAAGTCAGAATAAAAAGTATCTGTCTATATTTCTGTGAGGAGGTATTATGTACACTACATTATTTGGGCTATTGTCCTCATCTTTGTCACCATGTTTATCACAATGTTTCGGCCTTCTTCAGGTGGTTGGAATGTCAAACTGAACCCTTTATTTCACTCACTGGGGTAGACTGTTCTAGTTCCATGTCTAATGGATGTCGATTATCTCCTGTTAATTCTCTCTAAAAGTTCTCCACAGCCTTAACCAGGTATTGAACTTACACTCTTTGGGTCCTCTCACTGGATCTAACTAATGCCTTTATCCACTGTGCCATGTGTCCTTGAGGACATCTGCATATGAATTTCTGGGTATTATAGACCTAATGTCTTCAGCAACCGTTTTTTACCAGAGCTCATATTGCAATTTTTGTTGTTATCGCTTTTCACTGGCACTCCTTATTACTGGTTCCCATATTGTATTCATTTCTATGCTTAGTTGGCTCAGGAGGTTTTGTGGCCTAGCATATGTGCTGATTCCTTAAGTTTATGAATTTTCCAATGATGTTCTTTGTCTATGATCTCATCTTGATCCCACAGAAGGCAGTGATCTCCCTTTTCTCTCCATATGTGGTCAGCTACGCCTGATTTACACAAGGTGAGATCATATAATCTGGCATTACAGATTATGAATTTGGATCAAATATGGATTAAAATCTGACAGGAATAAACAGGAAACATTTACAAATTTAACATGCTTTGCTTTTTATTTAAGCTTCATCAGAAATTTTTGGAAATGATTTATAGAAAAGAAAATTCTGATTGAGTTTTTTTTATTAGTTAACTAAACCTTACGTGTTTTGTCTTAGGGCTTTTAGTATGTGTGTGTGTGTGTGTGTAAGAGACACGCTTTTTTATATCACCAACGTTCATAAAACCCATACTTAAAGAATGTAAGATCCAAGTACCTGCAGTCTGTTACCTGTCTTTCACCAAACATCCCTCAACTCCACATGACCAAAGTGACATGTCATCATCCCACTAGCATCTTCAGGAATTAAACACATACACTACAAGGCAGACACAAAAATGCCCACGACAACCTAGACACACACAAACATTAAATTTATAAATATTTCCTATTTGTTCCTTGTTTTATCATTACAGATTATATAGAGAATAGGGTACATCCCTATGAAAGTGAGTCAAAAGAATCACTAATAAGTGTGTGACACTATTTAGCTATGGTAATTGGCTAACTAATTAACCATAGAAATTAAAACAGAAAATAGACTTTCTTAAAGCGAAAAGAAAGAGCTATAACAAAAGATAGACTGATTGACGTTAAAAGAAAGATTTTATTTTATTTACAAAAATAGCCCATGGAAGAAGCCACTTGTGAGGTCTTGTCCTGTTGACTTATCGCCGAGGGAGATAGAAGGAAGGGCAAGTATGGAATTATCGGCCAGAACGTGTTGGTTGTAAAAATTTCGGTTGGAGACAAGCAGTGAGAATCAATGTTAATTATCTTTCCAAGATATCGTTTAATTTTTTTTCTTGGATACAGGCGAAGAGAAGCAATGTGGCAATTATAAAATTTTGGCATTGTCTCCATATAGATGAGAGGATTGTTATCATTTACTTTGCCAACAGACACTAAGACGTTGAATGGCAATGTGGCAATTGTAAAATTTTGGCACTCCGCAGAAAATAGTGGAGAATTGAGATTTGATGAGATAAAAGAATTTAATTTCTTAACAAGTCAAGGATTCCATGATAAGGCTAACTTGACGTAAAGAACCAGATGGCAAACTTTGACAGTGGTTAATGAGACAGTAAGCATGCTGGATAAGTGACTTTTGGGTGGCCTAGGAAAAAGAAAGCATGTGATAAAAATTAAATTGGCAAGGAGAATTTTGTAAACAAAAATTCTAGATTATAATTTTAAGAAGGCCAGCTTAGCCACACCTGCACTGCCGAGAAATTGTTGGTCGTATGGTCGCATGATGATAGGCGGAGGTGAATAGATGAGAAAGGCAGAGAAGATGTTAACGCCCACTGAAGATATCAATGTGTGAGAGAAAGAGTCTAGGAGGATAGCTCTCCTCTGACCTTCCCTCATGGACAACGCCCCAAAAAATGGGAAGTGGTTAATTTTCCAAAAATGGGAAATGATCAATTTTCCTGTCCTGACAACAAAGAGATTTCTTGTTAGAAATAGAGATTACCGAGAACACCAGGCCGCATCAGGCCTACACACCTGGTTTTGGTCGGTACCCATATAAATGACCGTCGATGGGTCGTTCAGCAGTTGGAGTTGTTGAGTTGGAATTAAGTAGGAGTTAAGTTCAGTTGAGCTGGTTTTGAACCACAGTGTTGCCTCGCAGAAGCTGACCAAGAGATTCCATGACCTCAGACTTTGCCGATGCTACCAATATCAAGTTATATTGACGAACGAGGTTAAGCCAGCACTTATGATATCAACTTGCTTGAAACAGAAGTGTCACATTTCGTAGAAAACGGGCTGGGAGAAAAACACACTCCTGTATATAACAGAAGGATAAAGTTAAATTGTTATTTCTTAACATACTTGAACCTCTTGGGTTTTTCTTTCATTTATTTTTTTTTTCTTTGCGCTTGTGCAATGCCACCTTCAATTTGGACTCAGCTGATGCTACGGCCCGACGCCTGATTGATCTCGTCTACCTAAGATCAAAGTCTCAACGTGGGTAGGTTAGACTTGAGATTCAAGCAGTTACTCCAGTAACCAGACATTGCAAGTGGGTTGGGAATGATAGAGATGGCATTGAACCGGTACAACTGGTGAAGCCGTTAACATCGATGACCAGAACTCGAACCTGGTGCCATATATTGGTGCTGTAACCACTGGATTCGACCCTGGACAGCTGAGTGTCACATATTGGTATCCTGACCAGGGGATTTCGCCAAGTAGCGACAACCACTGAACGATTGGGACAGAGGTTGGTGGCAGTGACAAAGAGTTAACCCCAAACACGCCGGTAGAAGAAACCTTACAGCTTTGTGCCGTGACTGGGAGTTGACCATGGGCCAACGGCTTGGTGTCACAAGTGCATCAAGAGAAGTTTAAGTTACTATTGAGTTTAATACTTGAGTAATAATTGAATGGCTATTAAGGCCTTTCATAAAGGAGGTTGAGAAAGTTGGTTTCATTTAATTAGCTGCCTTCAAAGATTCAGTAAAAAAATGAGCTTACATGATGAAAGATGTTCAAAACTTATTAAAACAAAGTTTTATTGTAAAATTTTTTGTGTTATTCAGCGGAAAGACCAAATGATTTTTTGATGTAAAAATTCTTTTTTTTTTTTTTTTTTTTTAAACCTTTGTAGAACCTTTGAAATTTTGGTTAAATATCTTGTTTTACTGGAATCAACATTGGATCATAAATTTGCATGAGAAATTTGAGAGAGCTTCTTTTTGTGGTGAAAAACCTTGATTTGGAAATTCTTTCAAAAATCATATAATTGTTGGATTGTAATGAAACTTGTAGGACATATTCACAAATGAAGTAAATTATTTTTAACTGTTTCTTTTGGTAAAAAATATTTCTTTTTACATGTTACCCCTAACTTATTTTTTTATGAAAATTTGAGGGGTTTTTTTTTGGGGGGGGGTTGATTAATTATAAGGACAAGGCTTTGGAGGATTTAAATTATGAAATTCATAGGGCCAAACAGGACCTTCAGTTACAGAAATCTGCTCTGAATTCTAAAATAAAAAATACAGTAAAACTAAGACATTATTTAATTAGAAAAGTTTTTAATTGCTTTTATGAATAAGATATTAAGGATGCTATTAAGAAAAATGTTGTGTATGTTTTTTTGTTTTTAATTTTAATTAGAATAATTGATAAACTTTTAAATCTTAAAATTCTGTATTAATTTGTAGCAGTCAAGTGATAGCTTTTATTTAATAACACTATTTACTTGTCATAAACAGAAAAACTTACTACAATTCAGTGACACCCAGTATTAAAAATTTTTTTTTTTTTTTTGTATAGACATGCTAATTTCTGTAAATATGGATGTTCATACACAAAATTATCAGAAAATAAGAGCAGTAACAATAGTAAATTTAAAATTTATTGGTAATTTTGTAACATTTCCTTAACAATTGTCTTCATAAAACTATAATGCCAAATATCTGTCTATTTCTGAAATGAGGTATTGTAATTATTTACACTATATACATTGTTTGGTCTGTTGTCCTCATCTTTGTTGCCATATTCACGTTTCTCCTATTGTACACTTGAGCCTTCTTCAGATGATTGAAATTTCAAACCGAACCCTTTATTTCAGCCACTGGGGTAGAGTGTTCTAGTTCCATGTGGCATGCCTCTTCTGGATGTCTCAGTATGAGTTATTTTTGAAAGATTTTTTTATAAAGTTAATTATGTTGTGTTGACAGATTTGTCAATATGGATGATTTTACTGATAATCATAAAAAAATTCCAATCAATTTAAATTTACTTTGAGCTACAACAAAATGTTTTGCTTATTGGAAATGTTAAATTTAATCTATTAGCTTGGAATTAAAACTAAAAGAAAAGCTTCAAGAAAGATTTTTCATTTTTAAAATGCATTGAGCAATACCCAAGGTTTAAAACCTTAGGTATTGCTTTTTTTGGAAGTGCCTACATATAATCATTCTAACTACATACCAAGTTAGAAGAAAAACATTCTGACCAACTTAGAAATCAATAGTATCAAATTCATAGAAACTATCAAACTCTAAAAGCAACTGAAATGTGGTGAAAACAAAAACATTAATCTAAGTAAATCTATTTACCTAGCTATTGTCTCTTCACAATTTGTTCCTGAAGCTGTTGATCATTATATAAAATTATTAAAAATATAAACATTGCAAAGTACACATTAATCTATTCTGACATGCTGTTTTAAGATTTCTCTGGAATTGCTTTTACAAGAAAATATGTCAATTAAGTCTTCTGAATTGAGGAAATTTATTAGTACAAACTAAAGTTTTTAGCTGCTTTAAACTAATAGTGTAGTAATTTACCATTTGATAAAAAATTTAGTTTATATGAAATTAATATTTAAGTTTATTAGGTTGTGGGTGTATGAGTGATAGAAAGAGGAAAAAAACTTGGTTTACATTTTCAAGAAAATATGCAATCAAACAATGAAAGCAAAGGCTTATTTTTATTCATATTTATTTGTTTTCATTTTTACATCATAAAACTTATATTTATCTTGGACACATCACATGTTTCCCACCATCCACTGGAATCAAAGCTCCTGTTATGAAAGAGCTTTCATCTGATGCTAAGAAAACAATTGTTTTAGCCACTTCATCACATTCTCCAGGACGACCGAGTGCATGTGTTTCCTTGCTTCTCTCTAAAAACTAAAATAAAAGAGTTTTTATAAATAAACAAATTAATCCATTTTGTGTTCCAATGATGATCCACATTAAGCAAGTTATTTACAATTAAGTTTATATAGTTATTTTCTATTTCAATGTATGTAAAACAGTTAACAAGTTTTCTTTGAATTTTTCTCCTTATATAATAGAATTAAAATTAATTAATATTTAAAACTCATTTTCTTACCTTAGCATAAGCTTCATCATCCAAACCAGCTCTTTTATGAATTTCAGTTATTATCACACCAGGGCTGAAGAAAATAAAGTTTTTGATTTCATACTGCTATTTTATTACATGAACTTTCAATTTTTCACTTGTAAAATTGAATATTTTATTAAGTTAAATTTTTTAAAAACATCAGTATCTTTCTCTGAATCTCTAAACATATATAAGTAATAATTTTCTGGCTGTCTTTATCTATTTAATTCTAATTATAAAATCTTTACTAACTTTATAGAAAAACGTTGCTCTAATATAAAATAATACATCCTCTAATCTCAAGAGTTCTGTTTAACTTCTACCTCTTAATATCATTTCTGGTCAAAATTTGATTTGTTAGAAAACAGGACAAGACAAGAGACTTGAATAATAAAAAAAAAATCACTTTAGACAAATTAATTTTACAACAATTTTATTTTCAATAAACTACTCTTTATGGCAACAGTTATCTCTCATAAAAAATAAATTCTATTTTGTTTGTATATTTATTTCATTTCTTTAAGGTTTTACAATTGTTTCTATGTAATTTCTATAAGGTTAGAACATTATCACATTTATGTAGTATCCAACATGTACTGAACTTATTCACTTTCATTCTAGCTTGCCAGTTGTCATCATTAGCTTACTTGCTTTCAAATGCATCCTATTTTCTTTCTTAAAAAAGTTAATGCACTTTGTGGATTTTCAGAAAAATTCACAAAGTTTTTCACTATTTTCTCTCTGACCAATTTATGACTGGTAATTCTGTAACATAATTAACATTAGATTTTTATACATAATACTAAAAAGTAAATTCATTACTAGTGGTAAAAAATTTCTGTAAGTATAAAAGTTAAAAAGTAGAGTACTTACTTGACACTGTTCACACGAACCTGTTTTGAAGCCAATTCTAAAATGAAAAGTAAGAGTCAATAATTAATTTCATGCTTAGTTACCATCAAAGGGTATTTTGCACTTCTGATTGGTTGTTGAAGATCATCTCTTGCAGAAAATGGTTGAAATGCTTGAAAAATAGTATTAGTCAGTTGCTGATATATTTGGCAAGTAAACTGAGTGAGGTAAAGTTCGTAAGCCAGTTTGTTCAATTTCTGAAGAGTTATTTACACAATATCAACCCTTGGGTCAATTTTATACCATTAAATCACTAGTATGAGGTAAAAAAAGATGTAAATATGAGTGAAAAATTAATAATTGCTGTTAATGCCCCCCAAAATACTGCTGCTTTTAACTGCTAGTATAACAAATAATAATATTTCACAATTTGTATTTCTGGTTCATTGGCATATCCAGAATTAATATCAATCTCAGCCTTTATTTATTTCAGTGAAGTAAAAGAAGTCATCTGGTTGAAGGCTTTAGTTTTGTAAAAATGCTTTCTTCATAGAATAATAATAATGAAAAAAAAGATATAAGAAATTGTACAAATGTCTCTCATTGAAAAAAAAAATCTAGTTCTAATTCATGCTTCCTAATGCAAAAACCTCAAAATATTCTGTAAAGCAAAACCTGCTTACCTAATGCAGTACATTTTGTCAGTTTATCAAGAGCACTTTTTGACATGCTATAAGCAAGAACACCAGAAAACTGAAATGGTCAAGGATAATATTTTATTGGAAATACATACAAGTTTTATTTCAGTGAATATATTTATGTAAATTAACAAACACAATCTTTTTAAAACCTAAACTACAGTTCCATAAAATATGCCATGAATTACCTGAGGCTAAACAAGCATGATGCTTTGTTTGTAGATGGCCATTTGCAATGCGGAAAATGTGTCATGAGTGAGTTACATTTCTTTCCTTGGTGGTAAATATGCCATGATGAATTACCTAAGGCTAAATGAACTTTGTAGATGGCCATTTGTAATGTGGAAAATGTGTAGCATGCAGTCCTTTTGTTATAGGTTAATGAATATTGATGACTTGATGGCATGTATTTAAGGCTTTGCTTAAAGAGGCAGGTAACCCACTGCTAGCAACTGCTCAATGACTGTTAGTAGCTATGATCTAGTCTTGAGTAAGTTACTTTTCTTTCCTTGTTGATGAAGTCTGTGTGTTACAGAATGTGTCCATTCACAGGAACAGACACAATGGACATTGATACTTTTTACCATTCAATTAACCAATACTGTAAGAAATATGTTCCATTAGTTTTAGTTTCAAAGCAAAAATCAGAGAATACATTTCAAGAATGTTAAAGTATGACACTTCTCACTGGTTGGTCCTTGATCAATTCCTATGCTGGTCAATACTGCTGCTTGTTATTGAATTGTCTGTCCCACCCTGCATTCTGCTCTGCCACGTTGTACTTTTTGATCTCGGAGCCAGCAAAATCTGAGTTGTCAGTAATTTTAACACTGGTTCAAACCACGCTGAAACTATGTCACAAGAAAAAAAAAATGATGTTCTTTGCAGATAAAATAAAAGATAGGAAATTCTTTAGATTATTTTTCTATGTCATTTTTGTACAGAAATATTAAGCCTTCCCACTTTGAATTCTATCATGACACTTTACTCATTTTAGCTAAGTCTAGAATAAAGCTGAAGTCAAGAGTTCTCTTTGGCAACAAGTCACATGGGTTGTTTCTCATCATCTGCTTTTTCAACTGCAACTCCAACTGATTTTGCCACTTTAGTGTTCTGCTTATATTGACTTTTACTTATGACCAGCATGGGAGCTGATGTGTTTAGGGGACTCATTGTTTCCCCTGTCCTCCAACAAATTGTCTGACTTGATCCCTTTTCCTATGGGCAGTGATTGCAGGTACTGACCTGCCCTGATAACTCCTTTTTCTTATTTGTGTCTTGCAATGGACATAGGCAATTCCTCCATCCGTCTTGGTATCTCACCTATACCTTTCACCTTAGTTGTTATTTTGATAAATCTGGTTTTCAAACCGCGTGGCATGGCTTGGCTTCTGGTCATTAATTGTGATTATTGTTTTAATTTTTGTCAAATTTTCCCCAGCCCAAGGCCTTGTTTATACAATCTGAAATTTACCAGCTGTTTCCTCCAACAGCTGTTAGCAAATATTTGGTCTCCATATCTCGTCCACTCAATTGTACTTATTAAACTGGACCTTTATCTTAAGAAATTCTATTTATTGAGCTGTTTACAATTTCCACTTTTTGATAGATGGTATAAATCAATTTCTCAATTCTGCCTTGTCTTTAAAAATTACCAAATATTATCTTCTCAATCAACTTTCTTTTCTGGCTGGTCCTTTGGTGAAGTTTTTATAACTTCCACTTTAAGACAGTACCATCAATCGTCAGCCCAGCTTTTTTAGTTGGCCTCTTTGGTAATATCTTTCCTCAAAGCAACAAAGTCACTTACTTCAAGCTGTCTCTGCTTAAAAAATACATTTTCAAAAATAAAAAATTTCATTTCTTCTCTTATTATTCCTTTAACCCATTTCATCTTGTTCCAAGTTATATTTTAATTTTAACTCTTTCTTGCTAGTGTCACATCTCTCCCTTACCCTTTCTGTGATTTATTTTTATATGACATTCGAGTCCCTCCAAAAAATTAACAAAAATTATCATGCATTGTTTTATTCTACTAATCATGCAATAGAATTAAAAGAAGATTTTTTTCTTCTTTTCCAGTTATGATCATGCAATGTTCTCCATATATAATGATCCTATTAATCATGCATTAGAATTTAAATAGTCTCTCTTCTTTATCATTTTAACTTGTCTTTCAATTGACCAAGACTAATTTTCTCTACTGACTTTAATACTCTTGTAATGTAACTTCATGCAATTTCTCTACCACTGGTTTCCACAATTCTTTAATGCAACCTCAAGGAATTTCTCTTTCTATTCTTTGGTTCAGTTCCTTCTCTCTAGCCATACTTAGCTTAATTAGTTCATCTTCCACTTTGTTTAATAATGGTATAGATTCAAATCTATCACAAAAGTGATTTACCATTTTGATCTTGTTATCACTTCACTCAATTTCTTGTAAATTATATTCTGGCTGTGCTTCCAGGCTACCTACCATCACCATCATTATCAGTAGTATCAGCTCCTTCATACCAGCCATTCTTGCAAGTGCAACATGATTTCATTGATTTATTCTACTGATCATTCAGTGCTTGCGCACTTTCATATTTATTCTAATGCATTCCCATGATTTCCTCCTCTTAGTTTTCCAATTTCAACCTTTCCTTGTGCTAATCAACTTTCAGCAGATTGATTGATTTCAGACAGATGTGTGGCACTTTCACCCAGAGGTGGGGTCTCACCAATACCACCTCTGGGCCCTTGTGTAGACAAATGTCAGCACCAATAATTAAGTATGTTTGCCCTCTGTGATGTACTGTCCACATCTCCATCCTCTCCAACCAATTTCTACTATTATTTTACTGGATATGTTATTCTAATGAACCCGATGTCATTATGCAGAGACACTGAGTCCATCCATGCCATCCTTCTTACATTTCCCTTTATTTCAATTAACATTGTTAACTATCAATATGATCCTGGATAATCTTCCCTCCAATGTACACTTGAATGTACACTGTTATCTCCATGACCCTCTGTCACTTTGAATTTCATGGCTCATTTACCAGTGCCAGACAATCCACTTTATTAGTAATAAGCCATTAGTACCAAAATATGCCTCATTGAATCCACAATATCAAAACCAAACATTTCCACATCCCACTCGATAGATCTCCTGGTAGCCATTCACCAACATTTCCTTGCTTGTGTCTCAAAAACACTTCACTTTGTAGCAACCTTATAGGCTAACATTACATCATCTTGACACCCTATGAGCAACAACCAAATCTGTAGTCCAAAATTGGTCAAAGCTCAGCAATAGGGTGGTCCATGACTATTATTAATCTGATTTTATTAGTGATAATGAGTTCAGACTTATCCAACAATCAACTGACAGAAAAGACAGCTGATATCTAAACCTCATAACATAATAAAGTAATTCACCAATCACAACCCCTTTGTACAAATGATGAAAGAAAAAAAAATCACTACTGCTTATTAAAATGCCTAAAAAAAAAGTTTTTACTTCACCACCCAACCAATAGAATTCAACATCTTAAAAGATTCAAAACCCTATAAATTACTTTAAGTAAAATTTCTCCAAGGCTTTCTGCTTTTAAAACTACCATAAACATCAGGTGGCTCCTAAAATCTGACTTTAATTTTCCAAAACAATAATGATTTTTGGTCATTTGTCTCAACAATAACAAAAACCTTACTGAGAAAACTTTTTCATTGTTAAGTTTGGGGTATTTTTTTCTTTTTTCCCTTTCCCTTTACCTCGTAGTATCAGTTTTGCTTATCTAGTCTGTCTCTCCCCTTCTCATCAGCAAGCGATAACTCACTCTCTAATGAAGCCTGCCTTTCCCTTTCCTTGGCAGCAGACAATAATTCACTCTCTAATGAAGCTCTATGACCTCTGTATTTACAGGTCTGGCAGACTAACCCTGCATCTGCAAGGTGTGGGCTTATAAAACCCATGTCCCAATGACCAAGCTCTTCCACGAGGGACCTCTTCCTTCTCCCAATGTTACAGTTATATCCAATATAAAAACTGGCTATATAGACAAAATGGATTCCATTTTCTTAAGATTTTATAATGAATTTCATCAGTAGAAGATATCATATCCTGTGATTTTTTAAATGAGAAAAAGCAAAGTTTGATGGACTAAATAAATCATTATTTACTTACAGATCTAATTCCATTGACACTGGATACATTGATAATATTTCCTTTGGTAGCAATCAGATGAGGTACTGCCAACATTGTCAAGTGGTAAAATTGATCTTTAAGGAAAATAAAAATTAAATTTATATATGCAACCAATTGTAGTACAGTATTTGATTTAACAATAGATTTTTAATTAACCACATGAATTATAGAAGATTTGCCCTTTTAGTATCAAAAGTAAATATTAACATTTTTCATAGGTGTTTGGTTTTAAATAATACTTACCTTACATTAATGCCAAATACCTTATCATATTGTTCTAAAGAGGTTGTTTCAATAGTTCCAAAGGCTAAGATCCCAGCACAGTTCACCTGAATTTAGACACATTTAAAAAGAAGGTTTTTATAAATATGTAACATAAAAGGGTTAAAATAGTTTTTAGGTTTTTTTTAAGCTTCTTTTTTTATATGAGGAAAATGTATGTTTAAGTCATAACGGATATGTAATAAACCAAGGTTTTGAAAATTTAATTATTAGGTTTTTTTTTTTTAATTATTGTAGGGGAGAAGAAATTATGCTTACCAAAATATTCAGTTGACCAAAACATGAAATGGTGTTGTCTAGAGTTCTTTTTACATCTTCTTCTTTTACTAAATCTGCCACAATCATCAGATACTAAAAAAGAAAACAGAAAAATAACAAGGAAGCAAACAATAAACCCTTCAAATCTGAGAGGCAAGTTTTGTGAAAAGGACATGTACCAAGGCAAATCCAAGAAGTATATAGGTATTACCTTGACATGTACCCAATGCCTGTATGAATCTGACTGTGAATCATCTTATGTATATTTATGGTAGGTTATGAGGTTATCAGTTACAGATAAGTTGTTTATCTTACAACAATGTTCATTCTCACTGTATGTTGTTGTAATTGATTTGGGTGTATATTGGTTTTGTATAATGATTAAAAAAATGCACAGAGTATTGATAAAAAGAAAATAAATCTCTATATACACAATATAATAATACAGAAGAATGTGAAAGTTGAAGTTTCAAGAGTGTAAGTGTAAAAGTCCTGGTGCATATGAAAGAAAGAGTCTGGAAGGAAGTAAATATATGTAAGTATGTATCCTAATCTAGTAGCCACTGCTTGACAATGTGGTTGAAGCAAGGTATATGCTTCAAATGTAGCAGGATAGTATAGCCATCTAAGGTCGATAGCTAGTTGTGCAATTGTCTTTCATCTCTGAGTACATCTCTGAGTACATCTCTGAGTACAATGACTGCAAATTCTTGTTTTGGTCGATTTTCTATCTGGTGATATAAACATAGATGCACATTGACGTGGTATAATAGTTAGCAATCTTGTTTTGCTAGATCAATTACCAGTGAGTTCAATCCTCACTGGATGCTCCATAATTAAGGCCTTGTGCTACATATAAGCTATGTGTAATAAATCACTATATAGACATCTATATATCTACGCTACTTGCTTCTCATTTGCTTGTGGGCTTATACCTGGTTGTGAAAGATTTCTGATTGGTTGGTTGAACTATGGTTTGTTTACTATGGTTTAATGATTTTTATTATCTTATTTTTAGAGATGGTGAAATTTAGGTCTTGTTATTTATTTTATGTTTTTATTTCTCTATCACCACATTATTAATAGGATAAGAAGAATGATGAAGAATATTTCTTTAAATAACAAATAAAAATAGAACAAAAAATAGGATAAGAAAGAAAATGTTTTTGCTGTTTTTTTGTTGTTTTTTTTTAAATATAATTTTTAAATTAACTTTTGTAACTAAAAAAGTCATCTAAGTTCTGATCTAATTGTTAGGGAAATGAAATAGAGAAACATTTACAAATATTTTTCTGTTTTTTACCTTTCTTCCATTATTTTTGCACTCTGCAAAAACTTGCTTTAAGTTTTCCTCATTTCTTCCAACAATGGCTACAGAAGCACCAAGTTTTGAAAACAAAACTGCAGTAGCTGCTCAATTCCTGAACTGGCTCCTATAGAAAAAAAAAATGAAACCAGAAAAAAAAATTATCATCAGATATATAGATACAAAATTGATGTTATGACTCTAAAAATCTCAATTATAGAGATATTTAAAGCCCTTTACTTTTTTGGTTTACTGACTTGCAGTTCTTTATCAAACAATCTACTTGTCATTTATTTGGGTGCCAAATAAAATTCACAAGTGGCTGAAAGAAGAACAATTCTTCCTTAGTTTGACTGGAAATATCTATAGAGGATGTATCAATAACTCTATAGATTAGCACAATTCTTAGTTGAATTTGAATCAGAAATTTTCATGTTCAGTCTATGTGATTAATGGAGAAGTATTGGATTAAGTGTCTTGTCAAGGAAGGAAATGGTGGTAGAAAATAATTTTTTTAGAGCACAAACTTATTGTACACTTATTGCAGCACTTGTTAAAGCATCATGGTCCCAAATCTATCTCCTAATCAACTCATTTGATTTGCAACAAATTTCTGGATAGATAAATGAAATCAATTCCAAGCAGTAAAAATAACTTTAAACAGGGAAAAACAATTTAAGGTATACATAGTTATTTCAATTCAAAGTGTTGAGAAACATTCAACAATATATTCTCAAAAGCATCAATGTATGTACAACCATATTACTTCTGCCATCACATGAATTCCTCTATGACAGCAATATTAATGAATAAGGCACAGTCAAATTACCACAAAATTCAAAGTTATTACAAACAATGTACATGAATGTTAAGAAAATATTGTAATCTTTATTAGATTAAATTTTTTTAATAAAATGTATATTTCATGGTGTATAAAGACCACTATAAACAGACAAAATTTTAAGATTATGTCATCTTGTTACAATTTCTCAATGTCATGTTAATATGCACACATATGAATATACAACTTAAGGTCTATCAAAAAAAAAATGATAAATGCATAGCTACATGATCCACACAATAAATACAAAAATCAACAAATAATAGTAATCCCAATAATAAAAACAAAATAAGCACACAATCTTACCTACCAACTCCATAATAGCCAAATTAATTTATCCAACCCTAACCTAAAATTCATCAACATCACCTCTAAAACAATAAGAGATATAGTTACCACTAAATGATACAGCAACAGAAAGAAGACAGAAGCAGGAATATACAAAATAGATTGTTTGAAAACAGGTTCATAGAGAAACCGCCATACCACCAGATTTCCCTTTGGGAAATATTACAATTAAGACTCTCACTCTCTCTTTTTATCCTGCTTGCTGTTGTAGACATATCATATAATTTCTGTGTGGGACATATGAAAATATGTATATATAATTTTGTGTACAACTTAGTGGCTTAAAACTCTCTCTGAAAAAAAAAATTACTTGTAATATTTCCCGAAGGGAAAATTGGAGGTACAGCAGTTTCTCTATGTGATTTTCCCTGTAAGACCTCCATGTTTAGGCTAGTGATGTCCTTTCTCCATGAGTTTTACATTGCAACTGGCCCTCATCATTCTATCCCCTGATATCAAATGACCCTGTGATGTTATCTCAACAAAATGGAGATAATTACCTTTTGTATTACATTTTAAATAAATGTTAAATGTCTTATTTGAAATTAATTTTTGTTTTATTTGAAAATGAATAAATCTGTATTAAAAGAAAATTAATGTCTGTATGTAATTAAAGTTTGTCAGGATTTTTAAAACATTGGCACACTCACTTGCCATTATAGACAAAAAATGTAAACAATAAATTGTAAAATTTCTTAAAAACCCAATATTAGTTGAAGAGATATGTTTCAAAATCATTTAGTAAATTTATGCATTAATTAACTGGATTTTGTAAAAGTTATGTTTGCTTTTTAATTAAAGCCTAATGAAAATAATGTTTATTTATGCATGGTAGACTGTGGGGGCATCAAAGTTTAAAACCAAAATCTCTATAATAATACCCCCTTAAAAAGTGTGCAAAAAATAAAGAAGAAATACAGAACACTAGCAGTGCAATAATCAACAAATTGGTATTTATTTTTAAAAATAAATTATCTTTAATCTTATATAACCAATAGTTTACAAATATAATTTTTTATTTTATACACTTATTAAACTTCCTAGAATGAATAATTTTAGTTTTTTTACATTAGAAGTAGTTATTTTTTTAGTTAAATGATACTTTAGAGTTTAATTCATTGCTTTGATTGTTCATTATTTTCTTAGATATTTCATGTATTAAAATATATAATTGTACCCAATGTGTCTTTTTTTAATGATCTGAATTTAAGAAAACATTAAAATGATGGAGTTGCTACTAACAAAAAAATGGGCAAAACTGGTAGAGTTATTGAATTGATAATGTTGATTGTGTTCACTTTGAGTTCTTTTTTAATTATCCATTGGCAACCAAGTGATGCTTTAATTTATATTTTGCCTGTAAAATTATTAAAATCCTAACCAATACAATTTTTTATTCTCTATTCTTTTATGAGACTTAGTAAAATAGTCAACGGCAACAAATCAGAATTACTTCCCTTTTGTACACCCATACAAAAAATAATCTAACAGTTGCTAAAAGGAAATAATAAAAATAAAATTCTGTTAAAAAAGTTCATACTTGAAAATAATATTAAACTTTATATTTTTTGATTTTTTTTAAACAGGTCTTTATGAAGAACACTAACGGGATAAAATTTCAAAAACATACTGAAAAACTGCAAGTAATTTTTTTGTAAAGTAAATATTATTAAGTATAGATTTTTTTTCTTCCAATTATGAAAGAAAATAATGTATTAAATTATGCAAACACGAATTATTAAAAACTTTTTCTATTGTTTTATTTTCTACAAATTATAAAAAAAATAATTTTTTGAGTTTCATTGGATTACTTTTGGTAACATTTGGTGCAAATTTCCAGTATTTTCACACTTGATATTGCATAATTTTTTACTAAAATAACGTCTTCAGGGATTTTCTTTATGTAACTGTAAAAAAATTTGCCCGCCCCACCGTTTGTTCTTTTTAATTAAAAGAACATGCAAGAATCCCAAAATTATATATCCACAAAGTTTTCTAAAATAACCTATTCAGTATACAATTAATTCATTAATGAATAAATACTAAAAATTTCATTTGAATCAGATAATTCCCTGATTTTTGGCAAATAAAAACAGCAGGTAGTGATTTTTTGGCTTTGGAAAACAACATTTATTTTGGTGGTACTGTTGGGGACGTGCAGAATTTATTAATTATGCTTGAAAGAATCAGAATTTTCTTTCATTTATTTTTTTCTTTGCGCTTGTGCAATGTCACCTTCAATTTGGACTCAACTCAACTCAACCTGACGCCTGATTGATCTCGTCTACCTAAGATCAAAGTCACAACGTGGGTAGGTTAGACTTGAGATTCAAGCAGTTACTCCAGTAACCAGACGTTGCAAGTGAGCTGTGAACAATAGAGTTGGCATTGAACCGGTACAACTGGTGAAGCCGTTAACATCGACGACCAGAACTCGACCCTGGTGCCACATATTGGTACCGTAACCACTGGATTCGACCCTGGACGGCTGAGTGTCACATATTGGTATCCTGACCAGGGGATTTCGCAGAGTAGCGACGACCACTGAACGACCGGGACACAGGCTGGTGGCAGCGACAAAGAGTCAACCCCAAAAACACCGGTAGAAGAAACCTTACAGCTTCGCGCCGCGGCTAGGAATTGATCACGGGCCGACGGCTTGGTGTCCCAAAGTTATACACTAATCAATTTGCTGTTTCAGATAAAGTATGAAATAAGTATCGTAGTAATCATTGTAGTGATAAATAAATAATAAAAAGAAAACTAAAATGAAAATCAAAGCGACACTTTTTAAGCGGATCTCTAGATGGGTATATAACCAGATGGTAAATGCTGCAATAAACATAACCAGAGCCAAACTGTGACTGGCTGGCAACATGAAACGGCTAAATTTGTCCTGCTACATTGAAAATATATATCCTTTGCTTTACCTTTTTTAAGCAGCTCACTGCTACATATGAAAACATATACATATCTTCCTTCACCACATTGTAAGTAAGTGGCTAATTCATTTGAATACATAATATATATTTACTTCATTTGAATATCATAATATATATTTACTTACCTCTGGACTCTTTCCCTAGCTCTTGTATGCACTAGGATAGACACACGTTATTTCCTCATCTTATTTCTTCAATCCAACAAACGATATCCTGCAACACGTTTGCCCTTTGCACATGTGTTCTTTGACTTGAACTCTTGAAATTTCAATTTTCACCTTAGCCTTCTGTTTTTGTGTTATAGTTACATAAAGATTTATTTTGTATTTATCAACACTGTATATTTTATTTTAATCATTTACACAATATACCAATTTACCAATATTTACACATAAACCAAATATAGCGATTATTATCATAACAACATCCACAACTAATTCATAACTGATAATCTTCCACTACGTTACAACCATAATGTACTTTATTAGAAGCGTATCTATGTTTTTAAGCAGTTTGTAGGAAGCATTCTTTGTTTACATTTGAATAGTAACTTTTTAGTAAGGAAAGAAACGATGAATTTTTAAAAAGCAAGTAAAACTAATTTACCAGAATTGCAAATAAAATCAAAATGAATGAAAATGACAGTTATTGAAAATAAGAGTAATTCGAAAAAGTCTAATGAATGTTTTCTATTTCTTTTTAAAGAAATCATTTCTGTTGTAGAATTTGACATTTCAGTGGATCACACCTAATTTCCTGATTGGACAATAAATACGAAAATTGTATTTTGTGTATCTTCATGTGCAAAGTTCTAAAATTTTGTGCAAGTTAGACACATATAGGCTCCAAACCAAGTTTCAGCAACTGACATATTCTGATTAGTCCATTAATACCAAGGTCATGTTTATGCCTACGCACAAGTGTTCAAACCAGAGAACCACCAAAATATTGAAAACGTGTTCTCAAGCCTATCACGTGATCACCAAGTAACTAAATATGATACACTAGCACATCTTCCAGTGGAAATGTGACCAGCATGGCTTTGTTGTTTATTTTTTGAAAACAGTGGTAGGTGATACTTTTTTGAAGGTCTTTTTGAAGACCAGTTTTATTTTAGTCCACATAGTGTTTGTTAATAACACAGTTTTAGTTGTGGGGCTTTCCTCTTCAACAGCGTGGTGTATTATGAGGACCTAAAAGGGAAATATTGATGGTAATGAACTACTATCAATACCCTCTGTTTTGGAGGCAGTCTCACTGCTTACGTCAGCCCTGAAAACTCTCAACATAGCCCCCAAAATTCTGACGAAAAGATTGAGTGCCATGTGGAATATCCTACTAGCGACGGAAGACGAAGCGAAAAAGCTAGCCGGAAGTATTCTCACCATGAAATTGGTGAAACTACAAACTAAGTACTTGGGTACCCACAAGACTAGGATAAGATTACATGGGATGCCCTTGGACATATTGGAGGACTATATAGGGGCCTTTTCTTTCCCAATATCGACAAGTGGAAGATGTTGCACTGGCGAAGGACAAAACGGGAACATCAACAGGGGATGTTATTGTACATGTTACATTAATGAGGAAATGTTTTAATGACATCCCCAATATCTTGATTTGTGGGGACAGACGGATTTTTGTAGTGGTGCAGAGACAGCGACCCCACTGCTGGTCATGTGGTACCGCAGGACATATGTCTAAGGATTGTCTTGGCAAAAGCCTGGCACTACCAACTGTGCAACAACCGGTAGCTAACAGCACAAAAGCTAGTAGTCCAACAACAGGCAAAAGCAAAGGAAGTTGTAGTTTAGGCCTCTAACGAGGCTAGTGAGTGGCAGCAGGTGACCAGGAAGGGACACAAAGCAGCAACCCCTCTTTCATTTTCCCAACAGGATGTCTCACCGGGGCGAAAACAACAGAGCCCGAAGAAGAAGAGGAAGAAGAAGAAGAAGAAGCCTTCTAAATAACAATAACAAGAAACGCAGCAACAGGCCCGACAACATCATCGGGCAGAGCAACAACAACAGAGACAACAACAGACGCATCAACAAAAGACACAGTCGAAGGAAAATTCACCAACAACCAGTGGAAGAAGTGGAAATGCAGCCTGAACGCCTCCATCTAGATCTTCTTTTTGAAAAGGGGCAGGGATGACGAGGAGGGGGAAGACGACAAAATTTTGAAAAAAGAAAAGGGGGGACCTAGACATGACCCCAGGTCCCATTCGGTTCTCTCCTCGCCAACTAAAGAAAAAGACATTGAAAAACACAGGGCTATTCCCTCTAAAATTTCACAATCTCCGTCCCCCATGGCACCCCCGATCCAGTTGAAAAGAAAAAATCCCCTCCCAAGAAAAAGAAATCTTTCCCCAAATGGATGGACAGTTGCCAGTTGGACAGAAAGGCCCTAAAATGAGACCTCTCAGTGCAAAATAAAGCACTACTAAGACCTCTAATAAAATGTACCGCCGTGGACGGAATTTTCTTAATGCTCCTGGGGAAATTTAAAAGTTTGGGATCACTTGGCCGAGGCCAGGGACGCGTTCCCTAATATTAAAATGGTTCAATACAGTACTCCAGAACTACTTAAAATGTCACAAATGTGCGCAGGGAGGGTCCCCTTATTCTCCATCCCTGTTTATATGGGGCCCTAAAACTAACCTACGGGCGTCAGCGGCATTGTCGTGAAGGGATGAATTACATTCGACATTGGCACCAGAAGTTTGGGACAAGCCGTTGGGGTCCTTAGCCCCGCAGATTTCCGCTCGATATATTTAAAAAAATGTCTATTAAGATAGACATCCTGAATGCGAATGGCCTGAGGGATCGGGGTAAGGCGCCTTGCCTGCTTTGTGACCTCTTGTTGTTCGGTGTGGAAGTTGCCGCAATTCAAGAGACCCACTTTGTTTGCAACGTCAATTCGTGTGTGCTATCTAACGACTTTGTCGTCTATTCAGTATACGCGAACCGACTGGCCAGAGGGGTTTCTTTGCTGGCACCCTGTCCACGCGGATGCCGAGGGCCGGCTGATCAATGCCGATATTGCTGTGAAAATTGGTTCGTTTCGGATTGTTGCGGTTTATACGCCCAACGACCGTGAGGAGAGGGTCTCGTTTTTTCCTCGTGGATTCAACACGCCTAGTCTTAATGGGGGACTGGAATGCCATCCTGAACCCCAAGTTAGACAGGGGGAGGGGAGATAGCGGGAGGTCGGGCGATCGTAGCCTAGTCGATCTGATCGATGAATTTGGTCTCGCCGAGAGATACCGGGTCGAACATCCAAATGGGGAGATGTGTACGTGGGCACATGTGACCTTCTACCCGCGTGGCTAGCTACTGATTAGGCTATTCGGAACGCAGACTCGTCTGTGCCCGGGTAGTATTAGAGCGTAGGCCTAGAACGGTTGGGTAGTGGAAGTTCAATCTCTCTTTACTGGACAGGCGGGACTTCCGGGAACAGCTAACTAGTGTAGTGCAGCGGGAACTAGTGGGGGAAGTTATCAGGAATAGGTGGTGGGAGAGGCTTAAGGATTAGGTCCTTCACCACCGAGTTTAGCAGACGGATCACACTAGAGAAAGCTAACAAGGTGAAGGCGCTGTCTAGGGAGGCCCTGCAGCGTTCGGTTAGCGAGTGCTACATGGTTCAGGCAATTAGACAAAAGTTAAGCAAGATCTTCCGAAACCGTAAACATGGGAGCAGAATTGCGCAAGGAAGAAATTCCTCGAGGTTCCGTTCGCTACATTCACAAGGTCAAGACCACGGAGGTGTGTACTCCGAGGTTGACTGACGAGGTGTATGAGGCGTTTCGGCGGCATTTAGAGAGGCGCTTTACCAGGGAGCCTGGTCTCCGCGATGTGGAGTTTCGTAGCTATTTGATGACTTTCCTCAGCTTTCGCCGATTGAAGCGGCTAGTTGCGAGGGAGAGGTCACGGAGGGCGACGTCTATGCGGCATTGAAGAAGGTCGGCAGAGGCAAGTCTGGATAGTTTGCCCTATGAATTATACTTGAGGCTGTCGTACATCTTTATCTCGATTCTGACTGTCGTGTTCAACAACTGGTTCCGCCAGGGGCCCGTCCCCGATCGGATCTCCAGGGGTGTGATCACGCTGTTGGGAAAGGGCAAGGATGTTGGACGGGGATTAGACGAATACAGGCCCATAACTCTGCTAAACACAGAATTAAAGATTTGGGCCAAGATCCTGCAAGGGCTTTTGCAGTCAGTTGCCGAGACTCTGTTGGGACCTGAGCAGACTTGCGCTGGGAAGGGCCGAGCAATTCAAAGCAATCTGCATCTGATCCGCACGATCTTAGAGGATCAAGAGGCCACGCTGATCAATTTGGATTAGTCCAAGGCATTTAATAGGGTCGACCATCGCTACCTGGCTGCTGTCCTGCAGACCGCTGGATTCCAACCCAACTTCTGCCGCTGGATTAGCCTTCTGTATCGCTCCCCAGTGCTGCGGTACAGGTGAACGGGAAGCTGTCGGGCGCTTTCGCGCTCACTCGGTCGGTTCATCAGGGTTGTCCACTGTCGCCCCTACTTTACGCTTTGGCGTTGAAGCCTCTCCTTCGCCGGCTGAAGGACAGGGCGTGCAATCCGGCCCTACGTGGAATCGCTGTTCCCGGAGAGGCTTGAACCAGGGTTTCCGCGTACGCCGCTGATGTGTCCACTTTCGTGTCGTCCCGCAGCGACATCGAGGTGATGCTGAAGGTGCTTGAACGGTACGAACAGGTCACAGAGACCAAGATTAACCGCGACAAGTCTTCCGGCTTGCGGTTAGGTGCTTGGAAGGGGATTGATCTTCCGGGGCCCTTTGGTTGGACTGACGGTCCTGTCCGCATTCTCGGTATGTGGTTTGGACCCGACCTCCACTTGGAGAAAAATTGATCTGAGGTACAGTCAAAAGTCGGCGCGGCGGCTCGGACTTGGCGCCGAAGGATATTGTCCGTGAAAGGTAGAGTGGAGACGTGTGCCACTTACGACTTTCCTCTTGTCCTTTACCGCTTGTATGTACTTCCTCTCTGTAAGGAACATAAGAAGGCGATCGAGCGCCTGCTATCCTCCGTTTTGTGGGTGGGGACGTAAGCATCAAGTCGACAGAGATGTCTGTGCCCAACGTCTGTGTCATGGGGAGCTGGCAATGCCGCACTTGGCGAGTCACAAGCCCGCCTCGAGGCTGGCTTTACTACGCCGGATACTGACAGGAGATTCGATTCTGGTGGGGATCCCTTTCCTTACTATTCACCTCCCCATCTCTGGGGCCGAGCTCCGTAGTAAGTCCCAGGATGAATCGGATTTCATTCGCGAGTGTCGTTTGGCCTTGACGGTCATTCCTCGGTCCAGTGACCTTTCACGGCCTAAGAGAGTTTTCTATCATGAACTAGTGGAGGGGTGGGGGAAGGATCCACTATATGAGCGGCTTGACATGTCGAGATTCCCACCTCTCCAGTTTGTTTTTGGCCCCTCCTCTTTTCATCTCGACCGGATCAGCTTCTCCCCCGCATGACCGTATTTATTTTATCCTTTCTTTTCTCTCCCTTTATTTTGTCTAAAGGCAGAATACAGCGGCCTCTCCTTTATTGAGGAGTGGAAGGGTCCAACGAACATCAGTTTTGTTTCTTTTATATTTTAGTTTGTTTTTTGGGATCATCTCCTCCTCATCATTCGTAAATCTTTGTGGGAAAAAATCATGAAATTTTCAAATTTTCATGTCATGGGGTGCGTTTTTGTAGATCCTCTGAGTGTATGAAGTTGTTGCGGAGGTGTAGTTTATTAGGAAAACGATATGTAGCCGAAAGTAAGAGTCCATAGTAGCAGGAAGTAGCAAGGCCAAGAATACCAGATGTAAGGATCTGTGGTGGCCTGAAATAGTGAAGGTATGACGAAAATTGCCGGAAAATAAGAATCAGCGGTGGCCTGAAGTAATAGAAGCCAAGAGAGTCGGAATTAGAAATGCGCAATTCACGTAGCAGAGTTTTTTTAAAAGCGAACACAAATTTTGTTCTTTGCATTCAATCCTCTTGAAGCGTAAGTGCTAATGCCTTCATCAGCCGTTAATTGCTTTCTTGTAAACAGTTCCTTCTCTCTGCTGTTTTATCCGCTCATATCAATCCTTTTTATTGAATAACCAACGTCATGCCGGCTCCATCCATAATTTCACAAGGGTTTGAAAATCTCGCCTCTCACTGGCCAATATCCTTCTTCATGAATTCAAAAAATGAATCCACAACAATCAAATAATTTTGGCGGTATCAATTACTTGAGCCAAATAGGCCATAAAAAATGTAACAATTTTTACACAAACCGTCTGGCCTTCAAAAAAATACACTTCTCTCAAAAATGTGTATAAAAAAACCCAACTTAGACGATTATACATTTACAATTCTAATATTTTTAAATATATATATATATATATATATATCATACATTACTTATAATTTTTTTTATTATTTTAATAATAAAATTTTTGTAAGTAATGTATGATATACAGTTAAAATTAGAAAGAGTTGAAATTATTAGGACTCATAATGAGGAAAGAGGGTTTGCATATTATTTAAGGCATGAGGAACAGAGGGAAACGTCAAGTAGCTCTTAACAATTTTGCATTTTTATTATCTTACCTACTCTCTGTTCTGCTATTCATTCGTTCGATAAGTGGCAGAACAGAGAGTAGCTGAGATAGTAAAAATGCAATATTGATAAGAGCAACAAAAATAGTTATATATGAATGAAAAGTGTCACTTCTGACACCGGAGTTTGAGCATGAATCTCTAGACAATGGGAATGTAGACCGCCATTTACCATAGAGATATCAAGCCACTGTGTGGTTAAAATTACGTGTTTGACTATTGTGTTAACCCGGATGTTAAAATCGAGTGTTACGTGTTTGAAGACGATTTTTAGTACTTTTCCTAGCAGCTTTATGCAGTCGTGTTACTGATAAGTAACAATAAACTTTCCGTTGACTCTTTACGTCTTTGTTGTTAATGTATTTTAATTACGTTTGGTAATTAAATACTTCATTATTTTTACATTGAAGTCTTTCTGTTATTACTTGTACTATGAACGTGTGACGGATTACAAAAAAATGGAAAGTTGTAGAGGGTCATGGCCTCCAACGTCACATAAAAGAATTAATGCATGCCTATTTTTTTAGAGAATGTTTATTTTCTTTAGGATTTGGTATGATGACCCAGAGTAGGGGCAGG